CTGGGCAAAAGGGCTTTGTTTTTGTTTTTATTAATGCCATTCAAATCCATTTAAATATGTTGGTTCTCTGAGATAACTCAGAATCCCAAGGGCATGGATGAGGTGAAAGATTAAGACCATGAATCAGAAATCCTCATTTGTGAAAAGGTGTGAAGAATTTTAATAACTAATATGTAGAGCTTTGGAGTCCATTAGATCAGGTGAGATTGTTATTTCTTTTTAGGAAGACAAGAAATAGGTCACTCTCTTTGTTCTCTCCCTTCAAGCAAACAGTGAGAATTTGTTCAGGGCCGTTTGATATCAGTTCCTGTTCATGGTCACAGGGCTTGATCTAGTCACATAAATTATCTGGGGAATGTGGGGTCCTTTCTCAACTTGGCTCGGTTCCAAGTGAGTGCACCTGTTGTCTAATTGCTATAATAGGATCCAGTTGATGGACAGACTGTCTGATGAATCTATTATGTTGGTGGTAGAGCTGATACAAGGAGCTCCAGAGCAGCTGCTAGCACTGACCCCAATCCACCAGGCAGCCTTGGCAGAGAGGGTACTACAAAACCTGGTAAGAGTTCACGCTTCCAGATTCAGATCTGTTACCCTTGGCAATGTGTACCTTTCAAACAGTGTTCTCTGTGTTCTAACCCCCACCTCCCTCTCCTTGCTACTAAATAGGTTCCTATGTATAAGGCCTTATCCCCTTAATCTGCCTCTTGATTCTACTCCTTGATAATCTGCTTCATGTTTCTTGTCCATACCCCTTGAAGTTCAAGAAATCTCTTGGATTCCACCTTTCAGTCTTTATGCCTCCTCATATCTGGGCTCATTCGCTATTTTTAAAAAGTGAACAAAGGCAATGAGCTCACAAAGATGCTAACTTGGGAGCATGAGGAAGGGAAGGTCAAGGGGCTTGGTGTCTGGATCAAAGAGGCTGGTACTCTGAGTCAGAGATAAATTGTCCAAGGATTGATACTCTTCTCCAGGCTCCAAAGGAGACCCCAATCTCAGAGGAAGTGCTGGAGAAACTGGGTCCCTTGGTTGGATTCCTAGGGATAGAGAGCACACGGCGAATTCCCCTACCAATCCTGCTATCCCATCTCAGTCAGCTGCAGGGATTCTGCCTAGGAGAGACGTTTGCTACAGAGCTGGGACAGCTGCTGTTACAGGAGCCTGTTCTTGGGTATGGACCTTTGAGAACTTCAGATTCTAACTTACCCTATACCCAGCCCCTCAACCATCATCTTCAGGGGCAGAATATTCCATTTGCTTAAGTCCTAAGTTCTCCCAATCCTAGCATATCCTCTTTTTTTCCATAGTTCCCTCAGCTCCCTAGCCCATGATCTTCTTCCTGTCCCCCAGGAAACCAGAGTTCTGGAGCCAGGATGAAGTAGAGCAAGCTGGACGCCTAGTATTTACTCTGTCTACTGAGGATATTTCCTTGATCCCCAGGGTGAGATGAAAGAACAAAGGAGAGTAAATGCATAGAGGGGACTATAAGCTGGTATTGGGGATCTTAGGCCAAAAAGTGTGCAGTCTGATTCTGGAAAGTACTGCTGACAGACATAGCAGCTGCAGCAACTGGCCCTGATCCTGTGTGACTCTCCCCACCTTCCCTTTCCTCTGTCATGCAGGAGGCTTTGGGTCCAGAGACCCTGGAGCGGCTTCTAGAAAAGCAGCATAGCTGGGAACAGAGCAGAGTTGGACAGTTGTGTCTGGGGCCACATCTTACTCCCAAGAAAGCAGCCCTGGTAGCTGGGTTTGTGCGGCCAGCTGCTGAGGATCTTCCAGGTGAAGCTACCCAAATACTCATATGTCCAGCAGGCCATACAGAAGAGGGTCTCAAACAATGATGCAGTCAGAAGTCTGGCCTCTAGAGCTGGGGTTTTAGCTTAGTGGTGTGGTGAGTCCTTAGAGCAAATTCGCAAATCTGTGGTAGCAGGTTTGGTCTGGTAATTTACAAAGCAAAATGATTGGAGGAATGATATTCAAATTCTTTTCTAGTTCTAAGGTTCTGTGATTCTGGGAGTTTATAATCCATTAGGTTTTTAGTCTAGGACTCCTAACTCACTTCTTCCTCGGCTATGTGTGGAGCTCTCTACTGAGATCCCCAGAAGGAAGAAGACTACTTGGGAGCTAGAAATTCTTTGGAGTTAGATACCTGAATTCTAATTTAGCTTTGTCATTAAATTACTGGGCAACTTCCTCAGTAGTGCATTTATGAAATCAGCCCTTGTTCCTCTTCAATCACTTATTGTTCTAATATTCTCTGAGCCCTATAAATCTCACCCCATAATCATTCCTTGACTCATACCTGCCTACACTACCCCACCCTCCAAAAGTTGGAAATGTCATTCATCTACAGATATCTCTCTGGGCATATTTTAATACTATACTGACCCCCAGACCTGCCTTTCTACTCAGAACCTGTACCAAATTGTGCAGACATAAGGGGGACCTTCCCAGCAGCCTGGTCTGCAACACAGATTGCTGAAATGGAGCTCTTGGACTTTGAGGACTGCCTGGCACTATTTGCAGGAGATCCAGGACTTGGGCCAGAAGAACTACAAGCAGCCATGGGCAAGGCAAAGCAGGTTAGGGATAGAGAAGCCAGTAGGAGTTGCAGGGGGGAAAACATGAGGAAGTTGGTTGAGAGTGTTATAGGACACAAGAAAATGGGGAGTTGGGTGAGAGGGGAAGAAACAGGAGATTAAAGGGTTAGAGGGTTTTGGATCACAAATAGATCAGAGGGGATCAATGTTGAAGAAAGGGGCTAGAATAGTGGATAGAGAGACTAGAGTAGTGGGAATCAAATTTAGTGTGTATTAAACCATCTGAGTGGCAGATTTTTAAAATGCTGTTCCTGGGGTCCCATATTAGACTAAGAATCTCAGGTTGGGTCTAGGAATCTACATTTTAACAGATACATCAGTGAGTCTGGTGTACTTGAAGGTTTAGAACTCATAGACTAGAGTTTTCTTTTTTCTATTGATACTCTAATTTTTTTAGTCCCAGAAACTATAATCCAATTCTCTCATTTTACAGTTGAGGAAAGTAAAGAAAAGGCAAGTGATTTGCCCAGTGTTCCACAGCTAAGGTTAGAGACAAGACTAAGACCCAACATTTTGACTCCTAGTGCAGTGCTTTCTCCATTCACATTATTCCTCTTTTTTTCCTAGTTGTGGGGTCCCCCCCGAGGATTTCGTCCTGAGCAGATCCTGCAGCTGGGCAGGCTCTTAATTGGTCTAGGAGAACGAGAGCTACAAGAGCTGACCCTGGTAGACTGGGGAGTACTGAGCACCCTGGGGCAGATAGATGGCTGGAATTCTGTCCAGGTAATACCTTCTCTCCTCCCTGCCACTTCCCCAAAATCCATCCCATAGACCCAGGCCTATAGGTTACCCAAAGTCCAAGGAATTTTTTCCTGTGACCCTCCCTGACCATTCTTTCTTAAAAGTATGGTGCTGAGAATTGAACCCAGTGCCTCACATGTGCTAGGCAAACACTCTACCACTTACAACTTCAGCTTCTCCCTGACCATTCTTTCTGTCATTTCTCAATAGCTCACTCTAGTTATCTAAGGAACTCAGTGATTTATTCACAGTGAGGTCCTGGACACATAATATTCTCTCTTGCCTCTTTTTCTTTTGCCTCCTTTTTTTTCTCCCCCCCCCTCCTTTTTTTCTTGAGCAGTGGGTATCTTTAACCTTCCCCCTCGGCCATTGGGTCTTCTGAAAGAGCCAGGTCTGGGATTTTTTTTTTTTTAAAGGATATGGTCCAGTAGCAGCTACCTAATCCCCTAATAACTTCCTTATTCACTAATTTCCCATGATTTCTTTTATCCTATGTGCTTGTACCTCCACTCTAGCTCCGGGCTGTGGTATCCAGTTTCCTACGGCAGAGTGGTCGGCATGTGAGCCACCTGGACTTCATCCACCTGACAGCACTGGGTTACACGCTCTGTGGACTACGACCAGAGGAGCTACAACATATCAGCAGTTGGGAGTTTAGGTCACCTGTAGAGGGGTTATGGGTGATGGTGCTGTGGTGAAGGTGGGCTCTCTGGGGAGGGAAGGATTATGAAGGGGTAGTCCCATGAAAAAAGGGAGATCATTTGAAATCATCTCTTTCCCTCTTAACCACAGCCTCTATCACTGAAGCTGAATTTTCCTTTCTTCCCACTTTGCCACAGCCAAGCAGCTCTCTTCCTGGGCAACCTGCATCTCCAGTGCTCTGAGGAACAGCTAGAGGTTCTGGCCCACCTCCTTGTGCTTCCTGGTGGTTTTGGCCCAGTCAGTAACTGGGGACCTGAGATCTTCACTGAAATTGGCACAATAGCAGGTGGGGAGGCTGGACTCTAAATGTTGGTGCTAAATTTCAGGATTTGGTTTCCATATCATGGGTGGACTGGGTGGAGGACTGCTTTGGACTTCTTAAAGCAGAAGTCTGAGAAAATGTTTAGGTAAGGAGTTGGAGACAATGTTAGAAAAGGTAAATTTGGGAATAGTTGGAAGGGAAGTTTTAGGTTTGAAGAGAAGGGAAGAGACATGACAGTCTATAACATTTAGATGAATCCTGCTTCCTTCAATAGCTGGAATCCCAGACCTGGCTCTTTCAGCACTGCTACGGGGACAGATCCAGGGGCTGACCCCTCTGGCCATTTCTGTCATCCCTGCTCCTAAATTTGCTGTAAGTTTTGTTGCATTGGGGTCTGGGTTGACAATAGGAGAACCAAAGTTACATGTATACACTAACTCCTATCCCCACTTCCAGGTGGTGTTCAATCCCACCCAGCTATCAAGTCTCACCAGTATTCAGGCTGTTGCTGTCACTCCTGAGCAAATGGCCTATCTGAGTCCTGAGCAGCGACAAGCAGTTGCATGGGCCCAGCATGAGGGGAAGGAGAGCCCAGAACAGCAGGGTGCGTTCCTGACCCTCTATATCCTGATTCACAATATAAACCCTAATTTGGTGCTGTCTGACCCATAAAGTCTACCTAGGGAGATCCGTGGAGTGAACGGGTCTATAGGAAGAGAACTTGTTTCCAAGTACCATTGGCTCCTGGGAAGCAGAGTTGTGATATTCCTCTATTCCTCATAGGGCGAAGCTCAGCCTCGGGCCTCCAGGAGTGGTCACAGTCCTCCTGGGTTCTGGTATTGACCATCAGCTTCACTGGGCACCTGCTATGAGCCTGTCTCTACAGTTAAGAGAGATTATTGAGCAAGAAACCTTACATCATAATGAATAAAGTGCAAATGGAAGTACATCCCAATTATTCTCAGGAAGCAGATGAGAAATATGGGTAAAATGCTAATGCTTTCCACCCACCTGGGAATCAGTGTTCCTGGCATGCCTTATCTGGAGTCTCTTTCTATCATAAACAACTCCACTGCTTCTTTTTATTTCCTGGAGGTTTATCCCTACCCCTCACCCACCAGTAGAAATAACACAGACAGCTGAAGCATAGCAAGGAGTCTTTACTAAGATGGGGGCTGGAGGTTGAGACAGGTTAAGGACAAGTAGAATGGGTCACCATTAAATGGGAAGAAGTCCTGGGAAACTTGAGTCATCTGCCAGAGATAGGGAGTTAATGTTTGTTTTGGATGAGAGGTGCAGGGATGCGGATATCCTGGCCTCTCTCCAGGCGCCGTTCACAGTCAATCAAATAGTTTACTCCATCGATGACCAGTTGCACCAGCTCCACCTGAAGGACACTAATCCTTGATCTCTGCTTCCCATAATCTGAGTTTCTTTCTTTAGCACTTACTGACTTTCCTGCTCTGGAAATTCATTTCCAATTGCCTTTTTGCTTAACCTGAATTTCACTTCAGATTCTGTTACATCCTGAGGCTCACTCTCACTGTCACTATCTCAACCCCCATAGACCTGTACCTCCACCCCTTAGGATCTCACCTCTGACTTGCCCAGTCGATCCAAATTAGAGATGTCAAAGACATTGCCTGTGGCAGCAGTGTCTACTCCTCCAGTCCCACGCTTCTGAAGTCTTAGGTTCTCTAGGATCTTTGGAAAGCGGCTATCCTAGAGGGGAGATAGGGATTGGAGGTAGGGTCAATAGAGGCAGAGACTGTTCCTATCTGCTCAGAGATTTTCCCCTGACCCTTTAGTCCCAATATGTCTGGCTCCTTTTGAAGTATCCAACCCCACCCATCCACACTCATCCTCTTCCTCACTTATACTGCTTTCTAAACCCCCACAACTCCTTTACTTTGCTTAGCAGGGGCAGTTTGATGTGCACTCCAGCCCGAAGTCCAGTGCCCAGGTTAGATGGACAGGTCAAGATGTATCCCAAACGCTCATTCCACATGAATTCCCAGCCACGCTCCTGGATTAGTCGTTCCACCTGAGCCCACAAAGATTCTGTTAGTCAAAAAACAAAGGACATGTGGACCCTCCCTTAGGAACTCTAGAAATATATAGAACAAGAAACTTGGGTGTGAATAAATAACATTGTTTTTTTTTTTAAATGAAAATGGTCGATTATTGTCATCATATATGCAAAGCAATTTTGATGTTGTAAAATAATGATGTGCCTTATGATGAGATTGTGAGAAAATATATCATGTGTGGAAGGAAAGAAAGTTGAGTAAAGCATTAAGGATGATCTAGGGAGCTGGGCCCAGTGGCATGTGCCTATAATCCCAGCAGCTTGGGAATCTGAGAATTGCAAGTTCAAACCCAGATTCAGAAACTTAGAGAGGCCCTAAGCAACTTAGCAATCCTGTCTCTAAATAAAATATTTAAAAAAGGAGTGGGGACATGGCTCAGTGGTTAAGTGTCTCTGGGTAAAATTCCCAGTATGGGGGTTGGGGATGATCTAGGGAAATGAACAGAGGTAGTACAATGAACTGAGAAAGAATTGATTATTCAATGAATTCTGCATACTTTACAATGAGCAGAGGCTCCTTTCAGATAAAAAATGAAGGTACAAGTTTTGCAACAGAAAGATGAAAGAAAGCCTTCTGTTAGCCATGGAAGGAGCACAAGTGAGAAAGCAGAGACATGTGATAACAGAACAGAAAAGCCAGATTCATAGGGGTGTGTGTGAGAGAGTGAAAGGGGGCCTGGAATGGTGTTCTTATTTCTCTTAGCTATCCTAATCATAAAGATGATGATTAGGGCTGGGGATGTGGCTCAGCGGTAGCGCGCTCGCCTGGCGTGCGTGCGGCCCGGGTTCGATCCTCAGCACCACATACCAACAAAGATGTTGTGTCCGCCGAGAACTAAAAAATAAATATTAAAAAAAAAATTCTCTCTCTCTCTCTCTCTCCTCTCTCACTCTCTCTTTAAAAAAAAAATGATGATGATTAGAGTTGAAGAGACAGAGGATCTGTCAGTGCAATGAACACAAAGACCATTTGCCAATATTAATAAAGGGGACCCTGTTTATAATTCAGAAAGACATGATGGTATGGGGGGTTCTTTCATGCTGAATATGGGGAACATATTCATTCTCATATGAATAACAACATATACCTAACACTTATTGAGTACTTGATATGGAACTACCACTTTATCTGCATTATTTAATGTCTCACAACAACCTAAAATGTAGGAAATCTTATTATCTCAATTTTACAGATGAGGAAACTGAGGCATTTAATTTAAAGAGTACTTCCCTACGTATGCATAGTCAGAATATGTTATCCCTTATTGCCAAAAATAGTTTAAACTTCCCAGCTAGAATCTAAAAAAGGAGCTTGCTTTCTTTCAAGTCTAAAATAGAACTGTATATAAGAGAACATACAGTAAGAATTGGGTTTATAGCAGGTTCTAATATAAAATTAAATATGGAGATTCAATCCATACAGGATTGTAGATTCTGTTCAATCCCTTATCTAGAGCCATACATTCTGGAACTTGAGCCATCCCATCCTCCTTTTTCTCTTATCCTTCTCCCACTCTTAGTTTAAAGCCAAGACATGATAATTTAGCAAGAATGACAGAATCTAGAGTCAAGGCCCATCTTGACTCAGAACTGAGGGATTATTTTGGAATCTTGAACACCATAATCTCTCAACCCTACATCAATCCAGGCTCCAGTGTTTTCCTAATCTGCACATCTACCATCCCACATCATATGTCCCAGGAACTAACTTGCCATCTCAGTTATTTCTTCTTTGCATTATCTGGAAACTGCTTTATTTGCTTCTTTTTGTTTCTGACATTCTTTTTCTCTTCCCATATTTCGGGTGACAGTATGTCCTGGCTTTCCCAAGACAGTCCTGGTTTTATACCCATTGTCCTGGAGTAACAAATGGTAACCCTTTTTTCTATTAGAAATGTCCTGGGTTGGTTGTTTATGTCAATCTACCTAGGCTGCTCTTTGGTTTTCCTTATTTCCTCCCACCTAGCTTCCTTATACATTCTTTTTCTTTTAATATTTATTTTTTAGTTGTAGTTGGACACAATACCTTTATTTTATTTATTTTATATGGTGCTGAGGATCGAACCCAGGGCCTTGAATGTGCTAGGCAAATGCTCTACCTCTGAGCCACAACCTCAGCCCCCACCCCCCTTATATATTCTTCTCCAACCTCTTTGAGGCCCCGGCAGAATCTTTCAAACACTCTCTTCATGTTGCCACCCTTTTCCATGGAGATGACCCGTGTATGATCCTCCTCATTCACCCAAATCAAGAAGCTCTTCTCATTGTTGTGCCTGAGGGCAGGAGGTAAAGGGGTCAAGTGGCAAAACAAGAACTGGGAAAGAAAGGGGAAAAAAACATTTATGTGGGCACAGGGGATAAAATAGGTGAAGAGCAGCCTCATACCAGATTCCACGAGCATCTGGCCAGTCTCGAGCCATTCCTGCTGCAGTCAGTAATGGGGACACAGGCTTATCAAATAGAAAGTGGTCCTGGGGAAAGTAAAGCAACTTGGGTTAAGAATCCTTCAGGTATTGAAGCCTTGAACCCAGAGCCCAGCTATTTTATCTGGCCCAGGCTCCCCTCTGGTTCTACTCCCCCAACCCAGCTCCCTTTCAGGGTCCCTCACATCAATAAGCTGCTGCTGCTCAGCCTCTGTCATCTCACTGAGCCTATAGTAACGTCCAGCCAGGTCACCCTTCAGGCCACTCAGTGCATCCACCACAACGCGTTCCACCTCTCGCCGCTCTGCCCGAGTGCAGGCTGGAGGCAGACTGAGTCCCCGGATACTTCGGCCAGTTCTGACTCTTGAGGACAATACATACCTCTCATCAAAGTAGCCAGAACGAATCTGAGGGACAAAGGGAATATAAGTCATAGAAACAAGTAGATATATAGCTCAGTTGGTAGAGTGTTTGCCATGCATGTACAAGGCCCTGGGTTCAATCACCAGCACCAAAAAAAAAAAAAAAAAAAAGAAAAAGAAAAAGAAATAAACACCCTTGGGCAAGGAGAGATTTCAGGGATTAGAGGACCTTCCTTCACACAAGGTATGTATTCTTCCTGCATACAATGAGGGGAGGAGTCAACTGGGCAAGACTCCAATTGAAGGAAGTATTGTGAACCCTTCCTCAAACTTCCCACCTTGGAGCATGGTCATTCTTATTTACTGTTTTCTCCACATCTGCTATTTCTTAAAATATAACTCTTTCCCCACATTAAGATTAAAAGCTCAGCAGTATAATGACCATGAGTCAGGAAATAATCAAGGAGAAGGAATTGGAGATACAAAATCTTTTACATGAGGCAACACAAATCAGAAGTGGAATATATGGCTCACCTTACTGGCATCCAGGTCAGTAGTGTGCTTCATTGTTCTGGGATCATATCCATTGTGTCGCTCTTGAATCACTGGGTCAAACAGGTCAGCAAATATCTAAAGGGGAGTTAAGAGGAAGAGGTGGTTACAGAGAGGAAATCTCTTCTTAGACTTCACTTGTGAATAGATTTCACTGGGTCAGAAAACTTCAGTATGGATGGCCCAGAGTCTTGAGGGAAAGTGAGGGGTCTTTAGGAGAAAGGAGGTGGGATTACTGGGAAGACAGCTTGGGTTACCAGGGAGACTCTGGGGGCCCCCTACCTCATAGGTCTCCTCATCTCCAGCCACCATGCCCACAGTCTTGATGAAGGGGTGGCCAGGGTTGTCCACGCCAGTCTGGATGCACTGATCTAGCGTCCAACCCGTGGGTGTGGTCTTGTCGCAGAGCCGTGCATAGACTGCTGGGGTCAGGTGACTGGCCATGCAGTTGTTGTGCTTTCGGAGGTCTGGGTACTCAGCGCTGGGGAGGGGGTACCCAGTAACCATGGAGGGAGGGCACAGAGGCCTGCACTTAGTGCTATCAGCTGGGAGCTGTCCAGTTAGCCACATTTGCCTTTGCTCCAAGGGAGGAGAGGGAATTAGAGGTAGGCTAAGCCTTGATAATCTCTTTAGGACTTTCAGGGTCTATTCTTTCCCAATAGTTCTAGCTGCCTGTGGCTGGCTGGCTCAGTTCCCCAAGACCTGCACAGTCCTTTCCTCCCATGAACACAGCATTAGTGATGGGGGAGGGGAAAGACTAAGGAGAATTCAGGAAATGGGGGAGAACAGCAGGAAAAGGAGATGGAGAGTGAAAAGGATAGTTCCTGGTCTTCGGATTTGGAGTCTGGGCAGGGGTGCAAGTAGAACTCATAGGGCCAGAACTGGTCTTGGTGGCGGGGACCGCGGGTTAAAGGTCCCCACAAATGCTCTTGCTTTTTGGGTTTGGTCCCCACTTCCGCCCCACTTAAGTCTTTTTGTAATCATTGTCCTTGTCTGTTGCCCAGGTCCTCCTCACTATCCCCACCTCCGTTCTCATAACCTCTTCCTGCGCGCCTCAGGCACTGATACCTTGGGGGATACAGCCTTCGTCGTTCACTGGCAGCTCGTACAGGTTCCGGGCGGAGCAGAAATCCAGCAGCTAGGGATCCGGCTCCGGCCAAAGCCAGGAGCCTGAGCCCGGGGCGGGCAGACAGCAGACGAGAGAAGGGACCAGCCATGGCTTACTGGATCCCAGAGCAGGAACTGGTGCGACAGGATCAGGAAGGGAGGATGCAACTGGGCAGACTGAGTGCTGGAGCTGGGTCCCAAGCTGATGCCAAATGGGGGTGGGGGTGGTGGCTGAAGCCGGAGTAGGATCGGGTGCCAACCAGGCTGCTGGAGAGGCGCAGTGAGCTAGTTGGAGCAGAGGCGCAATGAGCTAGTGAGGGCGGGCAGAGCAGAGGAAGGCTGGAGCCGCAGTCTCCAGGGGTGGGGCTCACTTAGGCCCCGCCTTCCCGCCTGCCACCGCGCTAGGTGTGCGGGGGCGGGGGTGGGCAGCACTAGTCAGGTAATTAGGAAGACCTGAGACTCGCACCCCTAAGACTGGGATGTAGGCCCACCTGGGATGAATCTGCCCAGATTTCAGCACCACGTAAAGGACAGCACCACAGCACTCCGAAACCCGAACACCATACCCCCAAGCTCCTTTGGTTTAATCTGAAACCCGATCCCTCGACTTTGTGGGTGTGATAAGGTGACATTGCCAACCTCTACTCTTGCTTTCGGCCTCCCCCAGCAACCTCTCATCTTTCCTGGGGAGGCGGCCGCAAGAAAACCGCGGAATAAGCACCGATACCAGAGGAAGACACAGAGAAAGCACAGGGTTAGAGGCAGACAGTAGGATAGACACCCGTAGGCTCAAGGTTACCTTTTCCTAAGAACCAGGAAGAGTACCAAGGTGCCTCCTTGACATACCTGTGCTCTCCTAACAAGGTGGAAAAAGAATTCCCTGAAAGGAATCAGAGAAATATTTGCTCTTTTCCCATCTACGCTCTGTCCTTCATTCCCACTCTGCCCCCAATTCTGCAGCCCTGCCTCCACTTCTAAGTCTCTACTTATCTTTCTTCCCCACCCTTCTCCCCATTCCCTACTTCACCTTCAATCTTTTACTTTTCTTCTTTTCCAGGTTCAAACCTGTTTGCTGCTCCGGGTAGTCTCTGCGAGCTTGCCTACCTGTTAGTTGCACTGGGGATGGGGGTGGGGCGGGAAGGGAATTGTTAGCTTTCTCTTCCTTCTTTCCCTTCTCTGTAGCTCCCAGTTCCTGGACTGGAGAGGAATATAAAGAGAGAAGGGTGTGGTGAGATGACTGGGTGTGGAATGGAACAGGCAGGCACAGGTCTCCAAGCACCACATGTGTTTCCTCTCTTGGCTCCCTAATGCTGTTTAATCCCGAGTGTAAAGGCGAATGGTGTCCAAGGGCATAAGGTCTTCAGGGAATCTCTGCCTTCCTCCTAGTCTTCTCTCCTCTCACTCTTCATAAAGTTCCTATTCCGATTTGAGAGGGCTTAGTTTCCACAGCTCCACATATGACTGGTAGGGAGGAGAATGAATGCTGGAGCTGAAATAGGGATGTTCGAGGCTTCAGTGTGGAGGTCAGTTAAGATGGAGTAGATATATTGGTATTAGTCCCTTCCTTCAACTGTCCTAATGTACCCACAATACAGGAAGATACTTTGAAATTTCAAGAGAGAGTATTTTGGAAGGAGAAATTCCCTTCACATTTTCCTCTGGCTCCACTGATGTCTCCCCACCATACTCTTATTCCCTTAGCTGTCCTGAATGTCCTTTTTCCTACCTTCCTCGTTTGTAGGTATCCTTAGAAACTATCCATCTCTCTTTGGTATCCATCATTAACTCTTTCTCCTGACGAGACAGTAAGTATCAGAGAATACGTTAAGTTCTGCAGTTAGAGTGTGGTCACTCTTGGAGAGACAGAAAATGTTACCTGTGCTAAAGGTGCCCATTACCTAGGTAAAGGTATAGCTATGAGTAAGTAAATATAATTACTGGGTATGGTGTATATTTATCCAGATAAAAGAGAGAGATAATCTTCCAAACCAGTAGGGTTGTAATTTTACTTAGAGGGTGTTAAGGAGATAGGGGGTGAGAAGAGAATTATATATAGAAGGAGAAATAAGACAGCCAGAGGAGTAGAGAAATTATTCGAATTTGAAAAGTAGTTATCCTAATTTATAATAGCTCCACTGAGAAGGAACATTTATTTTTATACTTTTATTGTTCTTTGTGAGCCTCTGACAGACATATCATGTATTAATACTCATTTAAAAAATTATCCTACAGCATATGTGAAATAATCAACACATCTGTATTTGATTTATCTAATAATTACTGCTATTTTAAATAATATGTAATATTTTTCAAGCATTTTACATTTGCAAAGAACTTTTATATATATTATTTTACAGAATCAAATTGTATTATTCCAGTGTATGACTAGGAGCAGAATCTATATTTTCATGGAGATCATAAGAGAAATTAAATACATGAAAGATACTATAATAACTTTTTTGAAGGGTTGGGGTGATGGAGAAGGTATGAGCCTGAGCATGAACTAGGGAGGCATCTGTTCTTCTGAGAGCCAATGCTTAGAATCATCTCTCTCCATTCAGGAGAGTTTGGCTTTGGGGTAGGGGGTCAGTACCTTCAGGCACCTGACTGGCAAAGGGGCGATATCCCTAAGGTTGCAAAGAAGAATTTGTAACTGTTCTGATAAAGGAAACCCAAGTGAAGATGCAAGGATAATAATCAAAACACAAACATATCCAAAATACTTTCACATAACCAGTACCCTATAAATTAGTTAATTTATAAAAATTAGTTATAGATGGACACAATACCTTTATTTTATTTATTTATTTTTATGTGGTGCTGAGGATTGAATCCAGTGCCTCACACATGCTAGGTGGGAGCTCTACAACTGAGCTACAATTCCAGCCCCTAAATTAGGCTTTTAATACTTTTAAGAAAGATGGAGGCTCAGAGAAGTTAAATGACTTGCCCAAAGCTACACAACTGTAAACGTTAGACCAGGATTTCAAATCCAGTTTTGCAGATCCCCAGCTTGGAGGGTATAGAAAACACAGGGTGTGGAGATAGGAATCAACTTGTCCAGTCTTCTGTGTCCATCCATTTTCTTGTATCCGACAAAAAATAAGCCTCTTCGTAGCCAGGCACTGTGACTCATGCCTGTAATTTCAGTTATTTGGAGGGCTGTCACAGAATGATCAAAAATTCGAGGTCAGCCTGAACAATTTGGAGAGCTCCTGTCTCAGAATAAAAAAATTAAAGGACTCGGAATGTAGCTTGGTGGGAACTCTCTCCTCTCCGCCCTCATTCAATCCCCAGTACTGGAAAAAATAAAGTCTCTTTGTTCCTTCTCTTAATTTTTAATCTGCTTCTTTGTTTTTGTCTTTGTTCTCCCTGTCATTTCTCTTTGCATTTTACATTTTCAGCCTATATTTATTGGATCTTTTACCCCGTTTTGTCTTATAAAACAAACAAAAGACTGATTTTGCTCTCAAGGAGATGCAATGGCACAAACTCTTGTCTTCTCCTTTGGGTCTCGCTTTTCCCAAAACCGCACTGCCTTTGTCTCAGACCAAGAGTCTGAACTCTGGCGACGCAGTAAGAAATTAGAGGTAGAAAAGCATCAGGTTGCATTCCCGCCCGCAGCCACTAGGAGCCACCCTCCTCTGTGCAGAAGCACCGGCCAACGCAGCCTGACTGTTGCCGGTGCGCGCCCTCCGCTGATTGGTGGCACCGCAAAGAAGTCGAGCTTTGATTGGACCACTGTCAGGTGTCGCTGCCGGCAGGTTCGGCTGCGCGAGCGGAGAGAGGCGGGTGAGTGCGGGCCGGGGGCGGTGGGGGAGTGGCTGGGGGCTGGGGGCGGTATCGGAGTGGGTGGGCGCGGTGGCGTGGGCTCGGTCTTTGCAGAGGGCGGTGGTTAGTACCCGTTGGGGGCAGCTTCGGGGAAAGAGGCCCAGCGGAGAGGCCTCTGTGTCAGCGCAGGGAGAGTGAGGCGGGGGCGAGTAAAGGCTAGAGAAGTCCGGATGGGAGGGCGGTATTCGTGATCCCGAGCTCTGTAAGGAGAGGACGAAGGAGAGGGTCAGCGAGAGAGGAGATGAGTGTGTAAGGATCCGAGTGAGGGAGAGAGGGTTCTACAAGGGGGCGGAAGGAGTGGAGCGTAAAGGGGAGAGGAGCAGGGGGAGGAGGGGGCCAGCTCGAGGAGGACGGGGACTGGATGGACTGGGGAGGGTCCGGGCGGGAGGGGCTCAGCGCAAGGAGGGGAGGGAGCGGAGTGGACAGGGGAGTGGGTCCACTCGAGGAATGGACTGTTGTAGGGAGGAGGCGAGCCTCCAAAGAACGTCGTGTGAGGAAAAAATGGATCTCAGGAAGCCATTGTAGGGGAATCATTGAGGATTTAGTATAAATATGTAACCGAGTGTGATGACTCATGTAAAGGTTTGAAGGCCTGTGTAATTCCGGGGAAGCAGTGAGTGGGAGGATTAATATGATTAGTTGACTAGTAATGGGGGACAGCACTCAGTGTGGGGAGTGGTTGGGGGAAATCAATGAAGAGTCAAGTAGGGGAAAGAAGGCAGTATGAATGTGTTAATGCTCAGGACAGAGTGGCAGAAGGAATAGTGAGTAAGTATGGAGGATTAAAATGTGCATTAAGAAGCAAGTGAGGGGTCCACTGTTTGAAGGTAGGAAGGAGATAGTGTTGGTGGCCTGAGAAGTTTTTCTGTTGGAAGTATTTCTTTATCACCCATGGAGCCCTCCAATCAAGTGCAAGGTGATTTAGGAAATTAGGGAACTATGCAAAAAGCAGCACTAAATTCTAAGGGATAAAGAAGTTACATGGTTTATTTATCCTCTGGTTAACATAGATGTTTCTGAGAAGATTGCCTGCCCCTTCCTTCCTGCTTACCTTACCCATTTTCTCCTTCCACCTTCTCGTCTTTCTTTCCTCCCTCCTTCCCTTCCCTCCTTCTTTTCATATTTATTGAGGCCATAATTAGTCCGCCCTTTTGCCCAGTGTAGAATCTGAAGTTTTCTTTCGCAAGAAAATTTGGGGGAGAGGATGAAGGGAAAAAAAAAGCATAGAAAACAGGGAAGTGGGGCTGGGGATGTGGCTCAAGCGGTAGCGCGCTCGCCTGGCATGCGTGCGGCCCTGGTTCGATCCTCAGCACCACATACCAACAAAGATGTTGTGTCCGCCGAGAACTAGAAAATAAATATTAAAAATTCTCTCTCTCTCTCTCTCTCTCTCTCTCTCTCTCTCTCTCTCTCTCCCTCTCTCCTCTTTAAAAAAAAAAAAACAACAGGGAAGTGGTGCCTGACATTGTGGCGCAGTCCTGTAATCCCAGTCTCTTTGGAGACTGAAGCAGAAAGTTTGAGGTCAGTCTGGGCAGTTTTAAAAAGATCCTGTCTCAAAATGGGGATAAAAGCAAAAACAAAAACAAAAAACAAACTGGGGATGTAGCGGTGGAGTACTTGCCTAGCATGGGTGAGGTCCTGGGTACAATCCCTGTACCAAAATAAAAATAAAGAAAACAGGGAAGTGGTTTTGGGAACACCACATTAAACCCCAGCTTCTCTCAGAGGTACTTCTAAATAAGTCCAAGCTTATTTCATAGCTATTTCTGTCAGCCTTCTATTTTTGCCTTGTTAAATATGAATTTGGACCTTTCAAGTCTGTATTCTTGAATAGACTCTTCTTCTCCATTCTGTTATTTACCACCACCACCCATTACAGAGTTGTAATAGAATTTCAAGAGCATGACTATACATTCAGTAAAAATTCATTAAGCGCTTAGAGAAAGAAAAGGCAAAGAATTTTGAATCTTAGACATGAGAGAAACCCCCTGATTCAGAGAAAGGTTAAATAGTGAAACAAAATTCTAATTACCTAAACTGTACAGAAATCTTGGGAATGCAAGTCATGGGAATTGGGTCAGGTCACTAAAGAAGAATTCATAGAAATAACTATAAATTAGGAGGAGGAGTACATGTATGAGACCTGCAGTGCATAAGTGGAAATGTTCAGTCTAAGAAAATGTCATACCCGTGATGGTTGAGCAATAGAGAAAACAGGTGAAGACTGGAAAGGTCAAGGTCTATGTAAAGGTCATCTATTACTTCCTAATCAAAACTGCAAAACCCCATTATAATGACAGAGTTTAAAATAAAACTAGTAAAGTAGAGAAAGTAATTGTTGAAGACTTTTAAAAATCTATAAAACTAAATTAGTTCATTTACTTAAGGAGTTTGTGGCTTTCATCAGAGTTGTATTTCTGAGAACTCCTGGAGACCATGGAAAATTGCTGATGTATGACTCAATTTTATTTTTGGAAAATAACAACAGATGCTAATATCCCTGTAATTCACTATTAGCAAATGTTTGCCTTTTGTGTATTTGCTTCAGATCTTTTTAAAATTTAAATAAACATTACAGTTAAGGCTGTGAAGTACCATGTGAATCATATGAATCTCAGTTCCATTCTCCTTTCTTCTCAGAGGTAACCACAATCATACATTCAATGTCTTCCTTTTAAGTCCATGTTTTTATACTTTTAGTAATTATTTTTGCAGTCATAAACAATATGTACTCAATACAATACAAACAATATGACTCAAATTAATGTCTTAAGATATTTTTACTGATATGGCTTTAGGCAGGACTTTTTTCCACTTAGCTCCTGAAGTGAAGGACCTTGCCCTAGACCAGCACTGGTTTTGTAATGTGTAATATTGCTTGTTTTTACAAATGGAATTGTACTGTATGCATGTCTCTACAGTTTGCACTTGGAAACTGACAACTTGTTATATATATCTCTGTTCACTTTTTATTTTTTCTAGTTCTATCACTAAGCTCATTCATCACAGCCTTTTAAAATTTTTATTTTGAGTCAGGGTCTCTCTAAATTGCCAGGACTGGCCTTGATCTTGTGATCCTCCTACCTCGGCTTCCTGAGTAGTTGGGATTACAAACTGTGTGTCATCATGCTGTGTGTCATCTGATTCATTTCACTTTTTTTTTCCCTGGGTACTGGCGATTGAACCCAGGGCTTCTCACCCATGCTAGGCAAGAATTCTACCACTGAACTACATCTGGCACTTTTATTTTTTATTTTGAGGCAGGGTCTTGGTAAATTGCCAAGACGGGCCTCAAACAGATTCTCCTGCCTCAGCCTCCCAAATTGCTGAGATTACAGGTGTCTGCCACTGCATCTGGTTAACCTCCTAAATTCTGATTCACTTTACTATGTTTCATTTATTGCATTGTATCCATTCTTCTACTTATAACATCTAAATTGTTTTCAGTTTTTTTCCATTAGCAACAGTGAGATTAAGGACTGCTGGGTGTAGTGGTACATGCTTGTAATCCCAGCAATTTGGGAGACTGAGACGTCTTAGTGAGGCCCTGTCTCAAAGAATATAAATGACTGGGGGTGTAGTTTGGTGGTAAAGAGCCCCAGGGTTCAATTCTCAGTACCCTCCCCCCTCCCCCCTCCCCCGCCCCCCCCCAAAAAAAAAGAAGAAAGAAGAAGGGGAGGAAGATGGTTAAGAACATGTCTTCTTGGGCTGGGGATGTGGCTCAAGTGGTAGCGTGCTCGCCTGGCATGCGTGTGGCCCGGGTTCGATCCTCAGCACTACATACAAACAAAGATGTTGTGTCCGCTGAAAACTAAAAAATAAACATTAAAAAATAATTCTCTCTCTCTCTTTAAAAAAAAAAAAGAACATGTCTTCTTATGTAGGAAAATTTCTCTACAGCAGGGTTTCTGTACATTGTCACTACTGACATTTTGAACTGGATGGGTCTTTGTTGTATGTGGATATCATATACATTTTAAAATGTTTAGCAGTGTCCTGCCCTCTTCTTACAAGTGCCAATAACACAATTTCAGGTATGCTAAGCAAAAATGTCCCCTGTGCAGCAAAATCACAATTGGTTGAGAAAGACTACTCTAGCTGTGTATATATAAAAGTGCAACTGCCAGCTTGTTCTGACTCATTTTCCCTGATGTGAAGGACCTTGTCCTAGACTAGTACTGATATCAGGAGACAGTAACAAGACATTGAGATTAGAGTTTCAGAATGGACCAGAGACTGCTCTTTGGATGCTTGCATCATCTACCTCCCAGCCAGCACTAGACTTCTTTCCTTGAACTAATTTTCTGGACTTGGGCTTCTGTCTTTTAAGATGGAAGAGGTGAAGGGGAGACATTGGGAATTTTAATGTTCTATTATAATGCTTAGAACAGAGGGTGCCCTCAGTTTTTTTTAATATTTATTTTTTAGTTGTAGTTGACACAATACCTTTATTTTTATTTTTATTTTTGTGGTGCTGAGGATCGAACCCAGGGCCTCTCATGTCCTAGGTGAGCACTCTACCTCTGAGCCACAACCCCAGTCCCTCAATTAATGTTTTTTTGAGTTAATTCTTGGTAGAAACAAAGATAAAGTTTAAGGGCAATGGCATCTGAATTGTCTCATTCCTTTATTCGTGAGTTAAATCCTTGAGTTCAGAATTACTGTGGCACAGGGTAGAAATATTGTGGAATGAATACAGAATTTGAAATGTCACTTTTTATTCTGGTAAGGAATCAACAATAGCCTTCCTTGAAGAACTGTCTTTCCCATTTGCTACCTGAAGTTAACATTGTTTCCTGCTGGCAGAATCAGGGACATGCGAGTACTGAAAGTCTTAATCTCCAGATCCTCTTAGCTTGGTTAGGGTGAGATGATCAGGGAAGAAAAGGGAAACTTTTCTTTTATAGTTCTTTTTTTTTTTTTTAATTTCAAATCATTGCCCACAGCCTCCCTTCTTGTTGACCTTTCTTTCACATAGCTTTGTTTCCTGTTTCCACTTGTACCATGTAGTCCCCTTATTTTCTAGTTCTCCATACCCAATTCCCACTCATTGCTTGAAGGCTTAGATTCTGAACTGATGGGGTACCCCCTCTCTGCAGAACGGGATGAGTGGGTGTTCCGGCGGGGATGTGGTCATTGACGGCCAATGAGGACGAGAGCACCACGGCTCACTTCTTCCTTGGAGCTGGAGATGAGGGGCTGTGCACTCGTGGAACAGGCATGAGGACAGAAGAGAGTGACAGTGAGCTCCTGGAGGACGAGGAGGATGAAGTGGTAAGATTAGGGAAAATGATGTAACTTGGTGTTGGAGCCCCCATCATAGAGACTTGAGATCCTATGGGATAGAGACATCTCTCTGCTCTTTCCAAATATATAGACTGTCTGTCATAAACAAGCCCTATCCTGGTTTAGGGGAGGGACAGTGAGATGATTAATTGCTTCTCTTTGAAACCCCTGCCCTTTTGCCCTTCTCCTATTGTCTCATGGTTATTGGTTCTCTGACTCTTCTGCTTGAGCATATATTTCCTATAGTGGAAAGCTCCTATTCTGTAGACAGTAGTAATCCCTAGACATGCCTCAACCTAGACCAAAGTTAGTAGGCATCCTTGGTACCCAGTGTCAAAAGTCCTGAGAAGAAACTGTGCCCTAAAGATATGATATTGTGTTCCTTAATGAGGGTAATATAGATGGGAAGTTCCTATATTCCTGAGAGTACTTTTTCTCTGTAGCCTCCTGAACCTCAAATCATCGTTGGCATTTGTGCCATGACCAAGAAATCCAAGTCTAAGCCAATGACCCAAATCCTAGAGCGACTCTGCAGATTTGACTACCTGACCGTTATCATCCTGGGAGAAGATGTTATTCTCAATGAACCTGTGGAAAACTGGCCATCCTGCCACTGCCTCATCTCTTTTCACTCTAAAGGTTGGTATCTGGAAAGAAAGACAGGAAGGGATGGTGGTGGGAATGCTGGATTTGGAATGAGGTTCTTACTGTTTTATTAGTAAAAAGGCCATCAACTCCTCCCAACACTAGAGAACAGTGCCAAGGGATTTGCTTTCCCTACATCTTGGAGGAGTTGCTGGGTGTAATTAAGCCTCAGGATAGCTCTAAAACTCAGAATCTCTGACAGAGTTGGGTTTCTGGAAGGATCTTAAACATAATCTTTTTTTCCTGATGAATATCCTAGACTTAGGAAACTGGACAGAGGAATAAGTAAAGGGTTGAATGGGTAGAGGAGCTCAGTATCAGCTATGACCTTTAATGTGTCTCTCTGTCTCTCTTGCCATTTTCTTACCCTGTCTCTTTCACTTTCTTTGTTTGGTCTATTTTCTTTTTTCCATCCCAGGCTTTCCTCTGGACAAAGCTGTTGCTTACTCCAAGCTTCGAAATCCCTTTCTTATCAATGATCTGGCCATGCAGTATTACATCCAAGATAGGTATAGCTTTCTGTGGACCAGTGGGATGGATAACCCTGAGATCTTGCCCATTTGGGGAACCACTCTGGGAGGGGCAGAGTCAAACAAACATGTTTACTATTGAGTTCTGTGCCCTGGTATCTTCCAGTTCCTATGCAAATGATATCCCTAGCCTCTTCCCTTAGTCAATCCCTACTTCTCCCAGCTAAATTTATTTGGGGGTGACAGGAGAGAGGTGTACCGGATCCTGCAGGAAGAAGGTATCGATCTGCCTCGATATGCCGTGCTCAACCGTGACCCTGCCCGGCCAGAAGGTGAGTACCTGCCCTTGCCTTGCTTTCCATGACTTAGCCCAGTGTCTGTCCTCTAAGTATCTCCTATATACCACCTATCTATGTGGGACTTTGGTTATTGGATTATGGGTAGGATAAGAACCATGGGTCTTTGGACAAAGACTCAGACCTATTACATAGATACTGTCGTATCTATATACCACATATCTATACTAAGAGATGGCCATAAAGTTTTGAGGGTTGTAAAGATTAAAACCCCAGGGAAATGGGAGTTGGAAATATTCTATAACCTTAGGCCCTACACACTCCCACCTTTTAGAGTGCAACCTGATAGAAGGTGAAGACCAGGTAGAGGTCAATGGAGCCGTCTTTCCTAAGCCCTTCGTGGAGAAGCCAGTGAGTGCAGAGGACCACAATGTTTACATCTATTACCCCAGCTCTGCTGGAGGAGGAAGCCAGCGCCTCTTCCGTAAGGTGGGTGGGGACATTTGAGCATCTGAGAAGTTAAAGAAGTGGAAGGGTGAGGATGATATTGTGAAGAAGGGGGCTGAAGGATTTGGGGATAGGGTGGTGGACTGAGGCAATGTTTTCTTTCCTTTCTTTTCTTCCTGAAGATTGGCAGCCGAAGCAGCGTTTACTCTCCTGAAAGCAGTGTCCGAAAGACAGGGTCATACATCTATGAGGAGTTTATGCCAACAGATGGCACAGATGTCAAGGTTATGGTGGACACAGGGATTTAAGATATTACAAAGGTCTGGGTGGGGATGGGGTTCTTGGGAAGCCAGTGCATGTGGAAGGGGTGCTAGAAATTAAATGTGAATTCAGTTGGCTTTCAATTTCAAGTGAAGATAATGAATGGAGAATGTAGACATTCTTATTTACACTGTCAGAGCAAGGGCAAGGTGGCATGAGAAATGGTGTAGTGTTGATAAATTACTTTTTAGTGAGGACTAGATAATAGTGCTAGAGTTCTAAGGAGAAGCCTTCCTAATAATTCTGCAGTTGGGCTCAATAAAAATAATGTCAGTCTCCTTATTCTTAATACTCAGGGGTTTTTTGCTTTGACTTTGTTTTGTTTTGTTTTTACTCTGAAACTAGTCTACAGACCTAGTCCTCATATTGTCTTCTCATATACAGGGTGAGCTGTGGGCATACTCAGTGATGCTATGTACCTGCAGGTGTATACAGTGGGGCCAGATTATGCCCATGCTGAAGCTAGAAAATCTCCAGCTTTGGATGGAAAGGTTGAACGAGACAGTGAGGGGAAAGAGGTTCGATATCCAGTCATGCTGACTGCCATGGAAAAGCTGGTGGCCAGGAAGGTCTGCGTAGCTTTTAAGGTAGGGGAAGAACCATGGCATTTGTGGAATGAGGGAGACAGACAGGAGCAGAAGTCTGGGAAAGAATCTTTTATTCTCCTTGTCTCCTTCTCCTGCAGCAAACTGTTTGTGGATTTGACCTTCTTCGTGCCAATGGTCATTCTTTTGTGTGTGATGTCAATGGCTTCAGTTTTGTCAAGAACTCAATGAAGTACTATGATGACTGTGCCAAGATTCTGGGGTAAGAGACAGTAGTCTGTGCTGAGAGAATGAACTTAGAGGAAAGAGACGGAAAGCTTTTGCTTCTTAAAAAATATTGCAAAAAGGGCCAGGTGTGGTGATGCTTGCCTGTAATCCCAGCCGCTGGGGAGGCTGAGACAGGAGGATCACAAGTTCAAAGCCAGCCTCAGCAACCACGCGAGGCATTAAAAACCTCAGTGAGACCCTGTCTCTAAATAAAATACAAAATAGGGCTGGGAATGTGGCTCAGTGGTCAAGTGCCCCTTAGTTCAATCCCTGGTACCCTTCCCTCCAAAAAATATTGCAAAAATGATTTAAGAGTGAAAAAGGAAAAAAAAGCAAAAGGGCTTCTCATCCCCTATGCTTTCCCAGTGCTGCTGTCCTCAGAGATGATAACTGTTAACAGCTTTAGACATAACAGATTATCTTTTTCTGCCATGTATAAATAAACTAGATTTATTTTACTTAAGATGATCATATTATGAAACTGTTCTGCAACTTGGTTTTTTAAAAAAAAATCATCATATAATGTTTAAACTATTCAAAAATATGTAAGGAGTAATGAACATGGTGAACATCCATGAATATAGTAGTGCTGGCTGAGCATTTACTAGCCTAAGAAATAAACAAGAATATAGGTGAGCCAGGTACAGTGGTGCATACTTGTAATTCTAGTGATTCAGGAGGCTGAGGCAGGAGGTTTGCAAGATTGAGTCCAGTTAGTGAGATTGTCTCAAAAACAAACAAACAAACAAAAAACCAAACACTTCTGGATTCAATCCCTAGCACTGCAACAAAGGGGGAAAAAAAGAATATAGTTGAAGCCGCTTACACTCCTCCCTGGTTACATCCCCTCTTCCATGTCCAGAGGGAAACACAGTCCTTAATTTGCATTTATTTATATTTCTACCACCTATGTGAGGGTATATGTTTGCATGTTTTCAAACGTTTTATTAATGTATTCTTCTGTCACATTCTTGTTTTTGTGCGCTTCATTCAGATTTATAGTACTGATTTGTTTATTTTCACATTTTTTTCATATTTCTTCTTCTAGAAACACCATTATGCGGGAACTTGCCCCACAGTTCCAGATCCCATGGTCCATTCCCACAGAGGCTGAGGACATTCCTATTGTTCCCACCACATCTGGCACTATGTAAGTGAAAATAAAAAATCTGGAGTAACACTTGGGATTCCTTAAGCCAGACCAGTGGTTGCTCCTGACTCATGCCATCTAACAGGTAGAGCCTGGGTCTCTTCTAAGTAGTCCCCTTATCAGTACCTATATCCCTAATCTCAGATCCTTGCTCCTCTGTTCTATGATGTGTCAAGTATGATGTGAGGATGGGAGGTGATGGGAGGTTGGGATAGGAGAGAGGCTCTAAGAACATTCCTTATCTTAGGATGGAGCTTCGTTGTGTCATTGCAATTATCCGTCATGGGGATCGTACCCCTAAACAGAAGATGAAGATGGAGGTGACACACCCAAGGTAGGAGAAATGTCCAAATGTAGACAGGTCTTTGTGAGGGAGATTGGGTAGAGAACAGACAGCTCCCAAAAGCTTGCTTTGTCTTGCTCCTTACTTCTTCAGGTTTTTTACTCTATTTGAAAAACATGGTGGATACAAGACAGGGAAATTAAAACTCAAGCGACCTGAGCAGCTTCAGGTAAGGTGGTGAATCTCACCAGAATGAGTGCTAGGAGAAAAAAGGTGTGGAGTTGATAAGAGATAGGGTGGAAGGGCAAGCCTCAAGGACATGGCCTCCTACATGGAGACCCTATTATTTCCTCTAGGAGGTCCTGGACATCACAAGGCTGCTGTTGGCTGAACTAGAGAAAGAACCAAGTGGTGAGATCGAGGAGAAGACTGGGAAGCTAGAGCAGCTGAAGTCCGTGTTGGAGATGTGAGAAAGGGGATAGCAGAAGGGAGCCTGTAACAGTGAGAAGTGAGGTACTAGGGCACAAAGTAAACTGTTGTTGTATCCTGCAGGTATGGTCACTTTTCAGGTATCAACCGGAAGGTGCAGTTGACTTACTATCCTCATGGAGTAAAAGCTTCTAATGAGGGGCAAGGTAATATAGCCCCTCTTTCAATTATCATTCGCATCTCTTGTTCTCAAACCTGTAGAGTGCCTCTACCTGAAATTACCTTTATGGTTTCCTCAGAAGTTGTAACAGTTAGATGTTCCTAATATTTTCCTTAGATCTAGACCTACTCACTGCCCCATATTCTCTCAGATTCACAGAGGGAGGCTCTTGCTCCATCTTTGTTGCTGGTTCTGAAGTGGGGTGGAGAACTGACTCCTGATGGCCGTGTTCAGGCTGAGGAGCTGGGGAGAGCTTTTCGCTGCATGTACCCTGGAGGACAGGGTGAGTGTTGGGATAAAATCCTTAGTAGGGCTGGAGTGAGATGATTAGAAAATAAGTCAGAGAAAATGGAAAGAGGCAATGGGGAAGTTCTTTCCTCTATATGGGTACTTATAGCAGTCTATTTCTGGTCCTTTCCTTTGCCCCCAGGTGATTATGCTGGCTTCCCTGGTTGTGGGCTGCTTCGTCTCCATAGCACTTTCCGCCATGACCTCAAGATCTATGCCTCTGATGAGGGCCGTGTCCAGATGACTGCTGCTGCCTTTGCCAAGGTGCCTATTATGGCTTTTTCACAGTCCCAGAGTCTATTAAGTAGAGAAACAGAGGGTTTGGAGAACTAAGTGTTTGTATACCAACTCAAAAGAAGCTATCACATTGTATACAATTGAAAAGAAGATGAGAATAGTTAGGGGGAGTAGGTCTCCTTGCTCCTCAACCAGCTCCTGTTTGCTCTCTGGAATAATCTAGGCCTAAGAGAACTGGCTTGGAAAAAAGAACTAATTGACCTTGGGCTTCCCCTTCAGGGCCTCCTGGCTCTAGAAGGAGAGCTGACACCCATTTTGGTACAAATGGTGAAGAGTGCCAACATGAATGGTCTCCTGGACAGTGATGGTGATTCCTTGAGCAGCTGCCAGCACCGGGTGAAGGCTCGGCTGCACCACATTTTGCAGCAGGATGCACCCTTTGGCCCTGAAGACTATGATCAGGTCAGGCTCTCCCTATTTCTGTGCCCCAAATACCCTGGATCCCAAGTTCCTAGAATTCTAAATAATAATAGTGATCAGTGTAATAGTACTTATTACATGCCAAGCTTTGTTTTAGGTATCTTACACATATTATCTTGTTAATCCTTATAGCAACTCTTGGAGATAAGTAAATGCCATAATTCTCTTATCCACAATTTCAAAAATTAAAAAGATATTTATCAGTTTGACATCATTCATTTGGCAGCCAAACCCTACATGAATTGTCATAGGACTATTTATACTTCTTAAACTTCCTAGTTAGTGTCAATAGTCATACATTTTGTTGCAGAAATATTAATGTGTTTGGTTATGCCCTAAATTGAGCTGAAGGCATTAAATAATGTGTGACAAACACTTTTTAACTTCTGAAGTTCAAAAAATTCCCACTAAATGTAGCTAATCCCAAGGACTGTGAATGGGAGAATGTTTCAGTTATCTCTTGTTATATAAAAAACTATGCCTCTGGGGGCTGGGGATATAGCTCAGTTGATAGAATGCTTGCCTAGCATGCCCTGGGTTCAATCCCCAGCACCACAAAACAAACAAACAAACAAACAAACAAACAAAAAACTATCCCTCAAACTTAGCAACTTAAAGCAATAGCCATTCCATTATCTCTCATAGTTCTGGGCTTTACTGGTCTAGCATTGGGTCTCTTCTGGGGCTATCTAGGAGGTTTGACTGGGGTTCTGGGATGAGTGGCTTTCTCCTTCTTCATGCTGTCCCTATAATCTCAGGAAGTGTCTTCTTCACAAGTTTTCTTGTGACTTCTCAAGCATATAACTGAATTTCTTTTTTTAATATCATTTTTTTATTGTTGTTGTTTATGGTTTTTTTTTTTTTATGTGGTGATGGGGATTGAACTAAGGGCCTCATGCTTGCTAGGCAGGTGCTTTACCACTGAGCTATTCCCTAGCCCCATGGCTGAATTTCTTAAATGATGCTTTAGGGTTCCCTTAACACAGAAATTTACCAGCTTTCTTAAAGCATAGACCCAGAATTAGCACAACATAAGTTTGTTATTTTTTTATTGGTTAAGTAGTCACAGGGCCAGGCCAAGGGAAGAGTCAAGGGAAGGGAAGACAAAGAATTAATGATCACCTTTAATTACCACAAGGACTGTCGGAACTGTACTACTTTTCTCCCATTTTACAAATGAGGAAATATAATCTCTAAAGAATTTAAGCAGCTTTTTCCAATATCACACAGCTACACAGCTAGTATGAACCCTAGGAGTCTAACTCCAGAGCATAGGCTGTTAATTACTACAATACACTGCCTCTCAGTATCAATCATAGTGGGTACCATTATCCAATGTGACCATCCTTTTTCTTGGGTATCCAGACCACAGTTGACCAGGCAGTGGTTTTCCACTATTCCAATTCTCATTTCTGATAGGTTCTTTTTTTTTTTTAATTGTAGTTGGACACAATACCTTTATTTCATTCATTTATTTTTATGTGGTGCTGAGGATCGAACCCAGGGCCCCACACATGCTAGACAAGCGCTCTACCACTGAACCACAATCCCAGCCCCTCTGATAGGTTCTTTTAAAAATTATTCATTTTTAAAATTGTATCTTTTTAAACATTTTTAAATGTACAGTTCAGTGTCAGTAGGCATATTCATATTATTCTGTAACTGTATACTGATAGGTGTATTTTTGGTGTGTGTGTGTGTGTGTGTGTGTGAGTGTGAGTGTGTGTGTGTGTGTGTGTGTGTGTGTGTGTAGTGCTTAGGAACCCAGGCAAGAGCTCTACCAATGAGCCACATCCCCAGCTCTATGACAGGTTCTTAAATGAGTTACATAGCTAAGTACATAACGTGTCTTTGCTGTGTTCTCCTCTGAGCAGGACTCAATAAGGGACAGAATCTTGCTGCCTTATTTTTCAATCTGTGTTCAATACCAAATCTAAAAAATCTCCCTTGCTTCCTTTTTCTAGTAAGAATGAAACTTATGAGGCCTTAGGTAGACCTGTGCATACTACCTAGAATCTTCTTCCTCCCCATTTCTCATTGAATGTGACTGTCCTAAAAGCTTGAGTTGGAATCCAGTTCTGTGGCAGCACTTCTACTCTAGGTCCAGGCAATAAACACTCATAAAAACATTCTGCCGATATTTTGTAATAATGTTATAGAGATTCTGTAATAAACTCACAGGAATCTGGGCAATCAGCACTAAACCTATCTTGCCTTTCTTCACTCTTCCTCACAGCTGGCTCCCACAGGAAGCACTTCCCTCCTCAACTCCATGACTATCATCCAGAATCCTGTGAAAGTCTGTGATCAGGTATTTGCCCTGATCGAAAACCTCACCCACCAGATCCGTAATCGGATGCAGGACCCCAAGTCTGTAGGTGGGTGTGAGTGCTACTGTCTTCAGGTACGGGTGCATTTCTCGGGCACTTGTGTGGCCTTTCTTAAATGTCTGAGACAAGGCATCCTCATCCCTCTGGTTCTACTCCAGAGTTGTCAGGATCTTTTGTTGGAGGTCAAATCTTTGGCTCTATCTGACTGCCTGCCTTCCTCCCAGACCTGCAGCTCTACCACAGTGAGACACTAGAGCTAATGCTACAGCGTTGGAGCAAGCTGGAACGTGACTTTCGACAGAAGAGTGGGCGCTATGATATTAGTAAGATCCCTGACATCTATGACTGTGTCAAGTATGATGTGCAGCACAATGGGAGTCTGGGACTTCAAGGCACAGCAGAGTTGCTTCGTCTGTCTAAGGCATTGGCCGATGTGGTCATTCCTCAGGTGTGTCTCATAAAAGTGATCTAGTCTGGGGATAAGGGCATTAGGAAGGGGAAAAAAAGATTTGGGAACCAGGGGAAGAAAACTTAGAGAAGTAATTAGTTGAGCTGTTAAAATTCTCAAGATTCACTCTGACTCTGGGTAAGTATAGAAGGCTAATTGAGGAGATATTCGGAGAGAGGAGAGGGAAAGTGGTGGATAGAAAAGAAGCCTTAGATCTGAGGCATGATCTTGGGGCTAGAAATATGAAGCAAGAGGAAAGCAAGATTCACTGAAGTACTTATTCCTGGTGCATGGTCCCTTAGGAGTACGGGATCAGTCGGGAGGAGAAACTGGAAATTGCTGTGGGCTTCTGTCTTCCACTGTTGCGGAAGATACTACTTGACCTTCAGAGAACCCACGAGGATGAGTCTGTCAACAAGCTGCATCCCCTGTGAGGGAGGGCTGGGAGGGGTGATGGATGGAGGGAGGGGCATGTTGGGAACCCTTGGAAAATCAAGTCTGGGATGGCTTGGGCAACCAAGAAGAGAGGGGATTCTGGGATAGAGAGAAGTCTTTGAGGTGGGAAAAAGGAGTTTGTGAAAGCCTAAGGAAAGGATTCTCTGACTTCATGCTAATGTAATTATTATCTCAGGTACTCCCGAGGAGTGCTCTCCCCAGGTCGCCACGTTCGAACACGGCTGTATTTCACCAGTGAGAGTCACGTCCACTCTCTACTCAGTGTCTTCCGTTATGGGGGACTTCTTGATGTAAGGATCCTCATTATTCCTTTAGTCTATGAGCATCTGTCCCCAGAATTCTTCTACTGTCTTCCTCATGCTGCTTCTCCTCCCTTTTTTTTTTTTTTTTTTTTGTGAAGTACTGGGCATTGAACCCAGAGCCTTGCACATGCTAGTCAAATACTCTATCACTCAGCTTTCACCAGACCTTTTAATTTTTATTTTTAAAAATCTTATTTTGAGACAGGGTCTCTCTAAATTGTTGAGGCTAGCCTCAAACTTGTGATCCTCCTACTTCAGCCTCCTGAGTAGCTGGGATTACAGGCATGTGCCACCATGCCCAGCCTCATACTTCTTTTTTTCTGCAAACTTTCTCTATTCTCCTTGGCTCCCTGACCATTTCCTGACTCCCTGTCCTTGGGCATTGGCTTACCTCTTTTTGTGTTTGGTAGGAGACCCAGGATGCACAATGGCAGCGAGCTTTGGCTTATCTTAGTGCCATCTCAGAGCTCAACTACATGACACAGATTGTTATCATGCTTTATGAGGACAACACACGGGTGAGGAGCAAACAGGGTGGGATGAGGAGAGGGCCCCTTCTTTCTGCCTCCATTTAAAACAATTTTCTTATCCTTAGAATTTGTGGAATCCAGCTAAGTGTGGCACCTAGACACAGCATGGCACAGAGCATCCAGGAGGTTCCTACTGGAACAGAAAATATGTTCTGGGATGATGTTGAGCCAGAAAGATTACCTATAGCACAGTTGTGGTGTTGGGGAGGATATAGAATTTGGGACATTATAATGAGTCTTTTTCCCTCAAATATGATTTTTTATATATATATATATACTTTCTGCATCTGTCTCCACAAAGATGTCTTTAACATGCTGCTGAATGCACCATAGCAAAGTTGCAGTATTGTAGAACTAGAAGTTTGAAAGTTATGTGGAGTGGTGAACTACAAATGGTGGGAGGTGAGGGAATGAGGATCCACTGACAGAGTATAGTTAAAGGGAAACTAAAACAGATCAGCCTCAGATTGGTGCAAGACCTCAGTCTAAAAGCTCAGGCCTGGATGGATCCTCTTGAGTTCCTCTCTGTTGCCCTTGCCTGCTCTTCCACCTCATACCCAGCTTTTCCCAATGGCCCTTTCTGTTCCATAGGACCCTTTATCAGAGGAACGTTTCCATGTGGAGCTGCACTTCAGCCCTGGAGTAAAAGGCTTTGAGGAAGAAGGCAGTGCCCCAACTGGCTATGGTTTCCGTCCAGCCTCTTCTGAGGTGGGTCAGAGGGCTGGGATAGGATTTAGGAACCAAGTGATGGGAAACTACAAACCATCCAGGACAGAAAAAAGGATTGGGGAGTTTGAGATTTGGAGGCTGGAAGCTATTAACACCTATTCGGTCTGTTATGGAACAGAACGAGGAGATAAAAACAGACGAAGGAAGCACGGAGAACCTGTACCCAAGGAAGGCACCAGATGAGCCAGATCGGGCTTTGCAGACCTCACCACAGCCTTCTGAGGGCCCTGGCCTTCCAAGAAGATCACCCCTCATCCGTAACCGAAAAGCTGGTTCCATGGAGGTAATGGAAGGGGCTTAGGAAGAAGATGAAGGGGTGGAAATATCCATGTATACTCTGAATCCTCTTGGAGTTATTCTTGGGATCTGAGTCTTCCTGCCCCTGGTTGATATGTTTTATCCTAATCTCTCTTTCACAGCTGGTCCCCCAGTAGAACTTCTTTAAGCTGATTGCTACTTCTAATATTAAAGTTGCCAATGACGCATGCCTGAGAGAGAATGATTTTAAATGACTAGGTTGAGAAGGACGCTGGATAGCTTTGAACAGGTGGTTCTTTAAAAGGAAATATATTAGAAACAGCATGATCTCTGGGCTTACATCCCAGTCTGATTCTTAGAAGCTGAATGACCTTGCCTCGATAACTAAACTTCTCTAAGCCTCATTCTTTTATCTATAAAATATAAGTAATATTCACTTTATAGATGCTTATTAAATAGTAACTATAGTAACAATACAAAAGATGGCTCTCTCCATCTTTTTTTTTCCACCTTGGGTAAAAATTATAGTGCAGACATGAGCAAACACCTGACACTTTAATGCCATTAGGGTTATATCTGTGTGTGGGCCTATGCCCTGCCACTCTCTTGTCTCTAGTTCTGGTTCTTATTCTCAAGTCTAGAGAAAGGAACAGTTTTTAATCTCACATTGGGTTTATCTAATTGTCCTGGGGTTTTCATTTGATCTTTTTCCTGGAAACACTGTTTTATCTCTTTGACCCAATGACACTCTTTTTGATGCCATGATTTATTCCTCTCTCGGGGACTTTTCTAATTTGGATGCTTCTGTGACTCCATGAATTACTGTTCACTTGACTCTGTGCCAGATCTCTATCCTGGAGGAGTTTTTTTTTGTTTGTTTTTTTTCCATTTTAGGGATTTCTTAGAAGAATGTACAACTGGCTTTCATAGGTCAGCCATAGGTTTCCAGTTCAGATTTTGGAGAAAGCCAAGAAGAAACACAATGGTCTCTTTTCCAAAATCATCCTTTACTTCCTAATTATTTTAAAGTAGAATTGATGTTGATAATTCACATTGGGATATGCATTATTTTCTCCTTGAGGTTTAGGTGTAACTTGATGTCTACATTTTTCTACATACCCTACAGACTCATATGAAATTGATTAAATGGACAGAATGACACATCATCTTCCATAGTAAGCTGCTGCTTCACATTGAAATGTCTTCCCCACAGTCGTGGTCTGCTGGTCTGCCTGGCAGGATTGTGCTGGACCTCCTTTTTTCTACTGGTCTAAGCACAAGGAGACATAGGCAAAGGAGAGCTCTCTGTGTATCATCTCTTAGTTTTTTTTTTTTAAGAGAGAGAGAGAGAGAATTTTTTAATATTTATTGTTTAGTTTTCGGCGGACACAACATCTTTATTTGTATGTGGTGCTGAGGATCGAACCCGGGCCGCATGCATGCCAGGCGAGCGCACTACCGCTTGAGCCACATCCCCAGCCCCTCATCTCTTAGTCTTGATGATATTGTCTTCCTTCAGTAAACTTCCACATTCCTTCTTTCAGTTACTGTGTTACTTAGACCCTGGCTCAGCTAGGATGATGGCTGCTTAGGATACACTCCTCAACATTGTAAGAAATCTTCTTTCTGCTCTTTGGTCACAAAGCTTTATAATACTAATATTTCCTCTCCTTGCTGTAGGTATTGGATTATCTTATCCTTATCAATGACATCCTTCCTCCCATCCCTCCTTCTTGTCATCTCATATTTTTGAACTGTTTTGACCTTCATAGCAGCTGTGCCCTAGGTGGTTATCCTCTCCAGCTCTGTAACTAGCTCAGCTCTTTGGGCACTGGGGATTTGGGAGCCAGGAGTTTAAAGGAGCCGTGACCGGCTTTCCATCCGGTCTGATTGCAGGTCATGAACATGCAGTGCACGGGGAACCTGGACCTGATCCCCTTGAGGGGACGGCGCCGCCGGAGGTCAGGAGACCTCCCCCGGCCTTCCCCAGCCATCGGCCTACAGCCCCGGGCTGTGTCCACCACCCACCTGGCATCCTGCACACAGGTGTCCCTCCCTGTATCACCTTCCTTTCCTGTTTTCTATCTCTGCTTTTTGGGATCTAAGGATGTGAAACACTATCTAGATGGGATGTGTGTATGTTAGGAATTGTGTGATTGGTCCTCATGGACATTGGAATAAATTGGTTTTATGTATCCAGAAGTTAAATAGTTGGGAGTAGGGCACATTTGATGTAAATTAGAAACCTATGCAGTAGTCACAGTTGTCCCATGGAAAAGAGGAGAGGGTGACCAGACTTTGTGGCTAAACCACTATAATTGTCTTTCTGAGTCCTGGGGAGAGATAGATAAGATTAGGGACCCCAGTCTACTGAGAACTATGAATAATTGGATCATGATTTCTCAGATTTGGGGTGGGAGGGCTGTGAGGACAGTTATCTTAGGAATAGAAGTGACTTGTATAATAGAAGAATTCCCTGGACAATTATCTTGCAAAAAAACACTCTCTGTTCTCTTTTCATTTCTCTTTCCTATAAAAATTCTTTGATTCTTTCAAATTTTCTGATGCTGCTTGGCTTTGTAGGGGCAAGAATTAAAAACCTGGGTTTTATACTTCTAGGTTGAGGTAGCAAAATAATAACATAGAGTCTTTTTCTGCAGGTGCTGTCTGAGACTTCGTCTTCAAAGCCTGGTGGCTATCGGCTCTTTTCATCTTCACGGCCACCAGCAGAGATGAAACAGAGTGGCCTAGGTATGGTTTTCTAGCATCTCTCACATATGGTGGAAAGGGTTGTCTGTCTGTTCTTCAGAGTTTTATTGTGGGAAATCTTTGTCATGGGAGGTGGGACCATCCAGTGAGTGGAACTGTCAGGTGGGGGTAGGGAGGATGAAGTGTGAGAAGCCGTCGTTAAGTATGAACTTATATCTCAGATGATTGTTTCCATCTCATGAAGGTGTCTGTCTTTTGGTTTTCCCCACAACCCCCCATTTCCCTGGCTGAATGGCATTTTTCTGGCTTTCCCTCTCATTCCTTATCTGCCCCTCCAGTCTACCTCAGACCTTAAGGGGCAATGAAGACTCTGAACCTTCAGAGTTATCAGTGACAGAGCTTTAAATAGAGGTACTCATGATCCTCATAATTGTCATATTCCTCATATGGAGAACTTGTGCCATGTCTTCCTCTGAAGCCTGTGTTTTTCACATCCCTGTGCTGCCCACTCCTACCTCTATGCCCTGGCCTTTATTCTGTCCTAATCCTGTAACTTTTTTCCTTTCCTTTTGGAAGATTGAGGGACAAATCTGAAACTGGTGTAGTGGCAGAGGCTTCTCTCAGGACTTTGAGGGAATGTCTCTTGATTTTTTTGATCCCTGGAAAGGGGTGGAGAACTTCATTCAACCTTTTCTAAGAACACAGACTGCAGGAAGAACCAAGCCACTGAGGGTATTGTATTCTTTGGGAGGGGGAGGTGGTCCTTGGGAGAGGCTGACTCTGAACATGCTGCCATGTCAACCAGTAACTAGAATTAGAGGTCAGAGATGAATGTGTGGGGGGTCTGAACTTGTTCCCCACCTTTTAAAATTTTGTCCTAATATTCTATTTAAATCTTCTCACTTTTCTGTTACCTTTGTCCTTAGTACCTAATTTCTTAGTTCCCAAATGGCCAGCATTTGAATCAGCAAGAGGGTAAAAGACTTTGGTCACTTTCCAGGCTAATTTTATGAGAATTGGGTACATTTTAGATCCCTGAAATAGAGTAGATGGTTTGGGGCATGAGAAATAAATGACAAATGTGTAGATCTGTGATACGGGCTTTTCTTCCCAGAAGTCCTAGTGAAGAGTAGATTTCAGATGGTCTGGAGAAGTGGGTAGGTATGTCTGGCCCAGTTAAATGGGAGTGATGTCAAGAATAAGGCATGGGTAATGGACACAGAAGTGGTTGACAGATGGTGGTGGTAAGGTAGAGACCACTGGGCAGAACAGGATTGGCATGACTGCACTAGAAAATTTTTCAGTGGAGGAAATAAATGTAGGACAAAGCTTGGGGTGGTCTGGGATAAAGCCAGCTAGTGTTTGCTTTTCTGAATAAAAACAGACATATTTAGCAACTCTTATTGCTCTATGGCACCCAATTCTAGCATGAAAGATAGTGGAAATTGTTACATAGAGAAATCCTGAATTTTGGGGTAGAAATTATTAGCTATCTGATCTTTCTGATTTCTCTGGTACCCTTGAAACCATAGTCTCTTCTTTGTGAGCTCAAGGGAAACTGACCTTCTCTCCACTTTATTCATTTCCCCTATAAATATTAAGTCACCAGCCAAACTGAGGGTCTTGGCAAAGTTAGATTTGAAAGTAGAGAGGCAAATCCTAAAAATCTGGGTGTCAGTTTTACCTCTTCCTGACTATGGTAGTAAAGACCATGTAATTCTAATTTTATGCTAAATCAGATATTGGGGACAGTGACTAGTTTGATTTAATCAATAAAACCTTATTTAATCAATAAAAACTTGATTCTTGCTGGGCATGGTGGTGTAGACCTGTAATCCCAGCAGCTTGGGAGGCTGAGACAGGAGGATCGCAAGTTCAACGCCATCCTCAGCAAAAGTGAGGTGCTAAGCAACTCAGTGAGACCCTGTCTCTACATAAAATAAAATACAAAAAGGGGCTAGGGACATAGCTCAGTGGTTGAGTGCCCCTGAGTTCAATCCCCAGTACCCCAAACAAACAAAAAAAAACCTTGATTCTTCAAGTTTTGCTCCTCTGATTGACAGTAGAATTCTCTTTGCTTTCTTTGAACTTATATGTATGCAAATCTCATTCTCATCATAGGGCTTACAAAACAATAAACTTTGAAGACAGAAAAAAAATGCCTGTTTTTATTGTTGTTTCCTGCTTTCCTTCTTAGTAGAATGCTTAGCCATAATAGATATGCTCTACATATAATCAGCTTACTTTTCACATGCCTTCCAATTTGTGTCCATCTTGACTTCAGGAACTATACTGTTTTCTCTATGAAAAAAATAAATTCTTTTCTATTAGAAAAGAACTATACTATTAGTACAGTTGGTCCTCAGGATCATGAGACCTAGATTCAGGTCCACCTTAGCTCCTAAAATACTGTGTGATCTTAAGAAAAGGAGAATACTTCTGGATCAGTTTCTTCATCTCTAAAATGAGGAAGTCAAATAGATGGTCTCTTAAGTCCCTTCCAGCTTTAAAAATTCAATGAATCTTTTACTTTCATTCTTGAGAAATGTTAAAAAGGCCTGAAGATGGGGAATGTTGGATGAAGAAAGAATTGGAAGGGTGCCAGCTGAGTGTACAAAACATGTCTCTAGTTTCAAGCAAGGATTTTCCCTTTCAAACCTACAAGAGATTAGATTTCTGGGTTTCTCAAATCCTATATCATTTATATCCTCTAAAGGGCACTGAGTTAAATCTAGGGGAATCCAGAGGGACCTAGCTATTCTTGTAAGAATTCTGAGAGCCACTCAGAGAGCATAGTCTCTCTCTTTCAGTAGCTTTGAATCCCATACTGACATGACTAACCCTGTATTTGTAGTGGCCTCTTTTCTCTGCCATGTAGATCTTCAGGAGAATTCCCACTTTGCTTGCTGAGTATGGCAGTGGACAGTAGTGAATGCTGTTTGTGGTTACATGGAGTGGCCAAGTATAGTGGTTTTGAATGACTGTGTGTGTGTGTCTTGATGTTGTCCTGTGAAGTTCTGTGTACTTCTCTGTGCAGCTTTGTGTGGCTACTAACACACTCCCGGCCTTGCAGGCTCACAGTGCACAGGGCTGTTCAGCACCACGGTGCTGGGTGGCTCCTCCAGTGCCCCGAATCTTCAGGACTACGCGCGCAGCCATGGCAAAAAGCTACCACCTGCCAGTCTGAAGCACCGAGATGGTATGTGGGTGGGTTATGGGGGGCAAATCTTTTTTTTTTCACTTGTCTCCCCGCAAGGACACAGCTCCAGAACTATTCATGCTTAAGATGGCACTGAAAATGGCATTATAACAAGTTTTCTTCATCAGTAATAAATGGAAGAAGAAACCAGGACCCCTTCCACCCCTCCATTTGCATTCCCTCTCACCATACAAATACTACTTATTTATGCTTATCCCTTCATAATCTCCTACATACAGGCTTGCTGCATCAATTTGTACTCTTTCCTGGATTCTGGCCTATAGGGGTGAGGACCAAGAGAATACTCCATGGTCAGGAAGAACACAGTGGATTCTTGATTAAAATCCAGGAAAGCAGGGTTAGGAAAGTAGCTCAGTTAAGGTAGAAAAGATGTGTAGAAAGAGATTGGGTAAAGGGAAGAACGTGTCTGCAGAGATTTTCTTTTTTCCAGATGACCAGAAAGAGGACATGATGGTGAAATTAGTGTTGTTTGTGGGACTGTATTGTTGTAGAGGTGACACAGATTACTGAGAGATTACACCAGAGGACAAGATTAAAATATGGTAGCTAGGAATCTTAAGGGGTGGGAATGGGACCAGGCCATATAACTAATTAAAGAATAGACTGTACTGTGGGCAAATTCCAAAGCAGAGGGTGGGGACAGGGGTGGGTATAATCCCCATGATGTCTTTTCTCCCCAGAGCTCTTGTTTGTCCCGGCCGTAAAACGATTTTCTGTGTCGTTTGCAAAGCATCCGACTAACGGTACGTTTGCTTCTGACTCAACATCATTCCTCCTCACCATGTCACCTCCAGACACTTAACCTCTGAGTTCTGACACTGACTTTGCCCTCCTTCCACTGTGTTGACACCCTCCTGTTTCTGAATGAGCTACTCACTAAGTGTTCCTAATGGGACATTTCCCTAGTGACAACTTTAGCCTTGGCTGCAGCCTGGTTGACCTATCCCTGTGGCAACTCAGATTCTTACTTCCATAATCACCATCATCACCATTATGTCTTTTTTGTCAGCATCACCATCAAGACATTGATTAGATCTCTCCTTTTCCTATCACATGACTGCCAGGCTAAATACAGCCGATAATGGTTCCCCTTCCTAAAAAGAATAGCATTGCCTAGATTGGGCCCATTTCTTTTACCCCACCCATTTCTCACTTTATGTAATTTTAATCTTCCTGGGTTTTTTCTCCAACTCTTTTGATGGGGCGGATTACTAGTTTGTTTCTCTTTTAGAGTAATGTTGCAGTTGCCAGGTCCCAAGCCTACCTATAAAGTCATTTGTCTCAAAGATATAGTTTCCCATCTCCATATTCCTATCTTCCTGCCATTGTGTGTACTTTGTGTGACTCTCGTGCTCCTGACATCTGCTTTATGTTACTACTAACCTAGTGCCTGGGCCTAGAAAACAAGAGCCCAGATTGTTTTGGGATAAAAGAGGGAAAATAATCCCAGTGATGAGTTGCCACGCTAATACGGAGCCACCAGGTAGGGCAATGTGGCCCTGGTTTGGGTGCCAGTGAGTTTAACAAAACTTCTCAAATGCAGACCTGAGGGACATGTTAAAAAAATATACTCATATATATGTATTTATATATACATGCATATATATATATATATATATATATATATATATATATATAAAGTAAAGAGGGAATATAAAAGGAGTTGGAGGTGGGGAAGTAGCAGATAAAGGAGAAAGAACTATACCGTGAGGATTGTTTCCTTGGTGGTTTTGTATGTATGTGTGTTTGCGTGTGTGTGCACATGCTCTAGGGATTGAACCCAGGGCCTCACGTGTGCTAAGAATACACTCTACCACTAAGCTAGACCCCTAGCCCCTATATCTTGAATTTTTAAAGGTAGTTTCCATGTGGTCCTAGCCTACCTATGGCAAAACTGCCTAAGAGAAGCTGGAGGAGTTGAGATGTCTGCAGGGGATCCCAGGGAAGCTTAGGAAAGAATAATATCTCAAGATTTTTGAAGAACTGGGTCTGCTCATACTAAGGTGGGTGAGTTTGGAGATCTGTATAAATGAAAACCTGAAAGGTTAAGGTCTGTTTGCATGTTTTCCTGGATTCTGGCTAATAGTGTATAACAGGAGAACTCAAGGTTTACTCCCTGTTGAGTTTTTATCTTTTATATCCTTAGTTTTCTCTGTATTCATCTTATCCTCAAGGTAAATCTAGTTTTGTTAGATATGGTTTTCTTCTTTCCAAGAGCTAAGACTCTCTGAGGAAGATAAAATTAGTCTGGTTTCCTGGCTAGGAAACCTCCCCATTGCTGATATCCTACTACTTAGCCAGTGGCAGGTTTTGGATTTTAGCCTAGTCAGGTCATACATCTCTACTAAACACTGGTGAAATCTCTCCTTAGGTCAACAAGCCTGTATTTGCTTAATTTATCCCCATCCCCAGACCCCCACTTGTACCTGTGGCAGAAATCCCCATTCAGAGTGACATGGCTGTGCCTACTCATTTAGCTTCAAGCTTTTCTGGCCTTTATGTGCCATAGGCATCTCCAGAATAGAACAACATATACCAACCCCCAAAATATAGTACTAGGTGCTGGGGCCCCTGAAATGAGAGATAAATCACATATCTCTAGATCCTTAGGTTTTATTAAAAAAAGATCCAAGTTCATAAAACAGATCCTCAAACTATATCTCCAGTTCCCTGAAGCCTTGGTTGGCAGACTCATCAGCTGAAGAAAACAAGAATTAATTTTACCATAAGGAGGAGAGGAAGAAAGACCTGGACAATTCAGGTATAGTGCAGGAGAACAAATTCAAGGTCTCCTCCAACACTTTGCATACTTTAGGGGTTTTCTGGCCTCCTTTGTTTTTTTTGTGCTTGAACTTGGAGGCTAATGTGCCTTAGAAACTAGAATCTGGGGTCTGTTGGCAACAGAAGAAATTTTTGTCTCTTGCTGAAGATTCTGTAGATTTAATTTGGCCCTTAGAACAATATGAGAGCTCTGCCCCATGGCCAAGATCTTGCTTAACCCAGCAAGCACAGAGTGGATGCTCTGTCTACAATTGCTTGTGGTAGATTATACACAGCAGTATGCCAGCCTACTCTCATTATCACCATCTCCTTGCATGATGTCTAGCTTTGAAACAGCAGCTTGAAAAACTGGACCTGGCTTTCAAAAGGAGACAAGATAATGCTGTCTTCATACTTGGACAGAAGCATAGCCCTTGGTCTCTTCCTGCCTCTGTTCCTGATAAGCTTCTGTGGCATCCCTGACTACATCCAGCATACAAATGTGCCTGTTACTAAACTGTATGCTGAACTCACCAAAGTAAATTAATAAAGTGGGAGAGAAACTGTGGCTCACCCTCACCCAGAGTATCAGAATATGCCTAATGGATTTGTTAGGCCCATTATCTTCTAGGGACCCACGCCACTGTGTGACCGTTGATAAAGTTGGTTCTCATCAGACTAGTCTGGGTAGAGCTGAATTATTTCCTGACATCCAAACTAAAGTCTCTAAAAACCATATTTTCATGGGATCACCCTATGGAACTAGCTGTGGTCTGGGAGTTCTGAGCAGTCATCCTCACCTGCCTTGATCCTACCTTTTCTATACCAACATCCTGAACTCAGGTTCTTACTCATCCTCACATCAGGTCTTATAACCCCATGCCTTTTCCCCAAGAGCTTTCCCTGTTATTCTTCTTATACTCACCCCACCACATATCTTTCACTACTTTTTAGCCTTTTTCAGCCAAATCCCATGCATCCACAAAGTTTGACAACCAGCTTAAATAATGAGGAGTTCAGAATCAAAGCTTTTCCATTCATCAGCTGAAAAAAGTTCAGTTAGACTCATCAGCATAGGAAGAAAACATAAAATGATCTCTTTTGGCTTTTTGTAATGGCTACATTGTCCTCAAGAACTGAGATTTATGCATTCATTTAAAAAATATTTATTTGAGTAAGGTAAAGGATGATTAGTCAACATTGAGATTTTCAAAAACAGATTCAATTTTTTACATGCGCTGTTTTAAAGGAGTCCTACATCTGGTTTCCTACTAGTCTTTTGTGCCATCTTGGTAGTGCCAGCCCTGTCTACATCTATCTTGGAATCTGGTCCAGAGAGCCTGGCCTGAGCCTTCAGGAGAATTTTTAGCTTTAGGTGTATCTTGATACTTAATAGAATTCTTGACCCCCTTCTCTGAGTGACTTTGAATCATTCCATCTCTATCCCAACCTCATTAATCCATTTGTCTGAGAAGTGGGCCCTAATTAGAGTTTTCCCAAGAATGACCAGGGACACTGAAGCCCTACTCAAAGCTACCAGTGACAAAATTTCCAGCTTACTCTATCCAGAATGATGTGACTGCTCTCTGGAAGTACTGACTGAATTATGCTCAAGAAGGAAAGGGAGGACCTTGTATGATAAGGTCTCATTTGTCCTTTCTTTTAGTCTCACTGTGTGATGTCAGCATTCTTCTTTGCTGCAAGAGATGCCCAATGTCTCTGACCATCTCTGCTTCTCTCTTAGCTTACCTTGGATCGAGTGGCCCTCATCTCCCAGTAATCCTTGTGCCAGTCAGTGCCCCCCTCATTGTCTCTCCCTCTTCTCTTTCTTTATCTTTGTGCTTCCTACCATGGTTCCCCTACCCCCTCCAGAACTGCTAGATGACCAGCACCCTGTGGTCCGGTTGCTGCGCAGTTTTTCCTCTGACTGCCCAGGGGGCCGGCCAGTCTCCTTGGATGCCACGCTGGCGCATCACCTGCACCAGTGCTCCTACCACCTGCGCCTCTTCCGGAACTGGCTGCGCTCAGGCCAGGATGACCCCGAGTGCCTCTACGGTACCCCCTGCCACAGGCTGGCTGCTGCCACTACCCTGGCTGGGACTGATTGCTTTGCTTATTGCACTTCTGGCAGGAGAGCCCATCTAGTCCTTTCTCCTGTTTTCCCCAAAGTTATGTGACTTGCATTTAGTTGCTTGGATGGGACTGGAGCCAGACTGCCTGGTAGCTGTAGCATTGGCTGCTCATCCCCTTCCTATTCTCCTTTGTCACTGCCCGCTAATGTTTCCCATTCCCTAATCTGTTCGGTAGAGGTGTAATCTCTTGCCCTAGAATCTTTTCTTATCTTTCTAACCCTCTACTACAACCAGTTTCAAAACCAGAGGTATTTCTAACCACCCCGAGGAGCTAGAAACTCCTCTGTGCACCCCTGCCACTAGGTTATGGGGAAACAAAGGCACGGAGGCCTCAATTAAATTCTTGAGGCAAACAAAGGCCAAAGGTTGAAAATGATCAGATATGATCATTTTGAATTGTAGGTTTTAGTTGTTGGTGAACAGGAGGCCAAGTCTGCATAGATATTGCTGCCCTGCCTACCCTTTGTCCTTTTAAGGAGATGTAGAAAAGGCATTGGAAAGACTGGGTACTGAAAAAGTGGTTGGAATGCATGTTTCTTGATCCTTCAATGGAAACATTGTTTCTATCAGTAGTCCCTGGAAGTAGGGTTACACATTTAGGTTTACCTTTGATCCTACCCAGACTAGTAGGCCTATATTAGAATTGTTGGGTTTAAAGCATAGTTGTAGTGTAGACTCCTTTTTCTAGGAGTTTTCCTCATTTATTGATGGAATATACAGATCCAAACAAATCTAGGATCTTCTAATAGAGCAGATGGGAAAAGCTTCGATGTGATGGAAATGACCAAGAAAGAACTTCCATCCCCCACCCATTCATGCATGTGGTTTTCCTTGGCTGAGCTTCATGTGTATTGCATGCCCTCCAGTTTGCATCCAAGTATTCTAGCCTTTCTACCCATATCCTATATTTGCATGAACCCTGCCTCCCTCAGATTTCATGCCCTCCTCCTTAATCTGGTTTTCTCGTTCATGATACCTGAAATCTGCTGTTTCTTCCCAGCTCCATGATCTCCCTGCCTCATGTTAGATCTACAGTTTCACTCCTTACCTGTGGATCCCTGTTTTATTTCCCTAGAAATTGCAAGAGCAATGTTAGTGCTTACCCTACTGGGCTTCTATTGATTTTTCCAGGGGACATTGCAGGCTATCCATAGATAGGATCAGAGGTGACTTGATTCACCTGGAAGCTTTAATAGATAGAATTTTTAGGAAATCTGGAGGTGAGAAAAATAGACTTTCCCTAGGGGCTCTAAAGAATTCCCTTTCCTGGGAATCTTGGATACCCCACATTCTAAAAGCCACGGACTCTCCTGATGGCTCTCAGGGACTGTCCATGCTTCCTTGGCCAATTTAATTGGGTTCTACCTGATAAGAATAACATTGACTTTCCTCATCTTTTTTCCAACAGGATTTGAAGGGTGCTCCATGGTACCTACCATTTACCCACTGGAAACACTGCATAATGCCCTTTCTTTGCGTCAAGTGAGTGAATTCTTAAGTAGAGTCTGCCAACGCCACACAGATGCCCAGGCACAGGCATCTGCAGGTATGGAGAGTACTCTTATTTTGTACCCCTGTCTCTACTTCCATTCCCATGATTCCTAGAAGACCTGAAAGTAATAAATTAAAAACAGGTACTCCATAAAGACACAAAAGTAGACTTGAAAATATGTATAATCATATAGGCCAACTAAACATCACAGAAATATTACTCCTTCGTAAGTTAATTTCTATGTTTAATGATTCCAATTAAAAACACAAATTAAGGGCTGGGGTTGTGGCTAGGCGGTAGAGCACTCATCTAGCATGTGCGAGGCCCTGGGTTCGATCCTCAGCACCACATAAAAATAAATAAATAAAGATATTGTGTCCAACTAAAAAATAAATATTAAAAAAAAATCACAAATTAAGGACTGGGGTTGTGGCTCAGTGATAGAGTTCTTGCCTAGCACGTGCATGGCACTGGATTCGATTCCTCAGCACCACATAAAAATAAATAAATAAAGATATTGTGTCCAACTAAAAAATAAATATTAAAAAAAAATCACAAATTAAGGACTGGGGTTGTGGCTCAGTGATAGAGTTCTTGCCTAGCACGTGCATGGCACTGGATTCGATTCCTCAGCACCACATAAAAAAATAAAGACATTATGTCCATTTACAACTAAAACTATTTAAAAAAAAAAACACAAATCAATTCTTAATTTCTCTTTGGAAAACAAATAAATGAGGGCTGGGGTTGTGGCTCAGAGGTAGAGTGCTTGCCTAGCATGCATGAGGCACTGGGTTCAATTCTTAGCACCAAATAAAAATAAAATAAATGGGCTGAGATTGTGGCTCAGAGGTAGAGTGCTCACTAGCATGCGTGAGGCACTGGGTTCGATCCTCAGCACCACATACATATAAAATAAAGACATTGTGTTCACCTATAACTAAAAAATAAATATTAAAATATAAAATTAAAATAAAATAAAGATATAGTATCAACCTATAACTAAAATAAATAAATATTTTTTAAAAAGACAAACAAATAAGCAGCAAGGTATGGTGGCGCACACCTATAATTCCAGCAACTCAGGAGACAGAGGCAGGAGGATCATAAGTTTGAGGCCAACCTCAGCAATTTAATGAGTCACTAGGCAACTTAGTGGATCCTGTTTCAAAATAAAATGAAAAAAAAAAAAAGGAATTGGGATGTAGCTCAGTGGCAAAGGACCCCTTGAATTCAATCCCCAGTATACACACACACACACACACACACACACACACACACAGGCAAGGATAGCAAAGAAAACCTTGAAGAATAATAAAAGGATACTAGCTTTACCACATTTAAAAAGTATTCTCTGATCCCAATGGCTTGGGAAACTGAGACAGGAGGTTCATGAGTTCAAAGCTAACCTCAGCAATGGCAAGGCACTAAGCAATTCAGTGAGGCCCTGTCTCTAAATAAAATACAAAAATGGGCTAGGGATGTGGCTCAGTGGTTGAGTGCCCCTGAGTTCAATCCCTGGTACCCCTAAAAAATTCTATAAAATGTATATAATAAAAACAGTGTGATTTATACAAAAATAAACAGTGAAGCCAAGGAAACAAAATAGAAAATCTAGAAATAGATAATATTAGCATTCAAAATACTTGGTAAAAGAGAGTCTTTTTTAAATAAGTAGACTAGGGCTAACTAGCCATTTGACCAAAATTAAAATCAAATTTATACTCTGGAAAATAACAAAAGTTTGCAGGAAGTAGTAAAATGCAGATACAAGAGAGAGGTAACCTGGGCTGTGGATGTAGCTTGGTGGTAGAGCACTTACCTCATGTGTGTTGAGGTCTTGGGTTCAGTTTCCAGCACAAGAAAACAAAAATTACTACATTGGTAAATGTAAAAGCCAGCATTTTGTTTTGTAACTCTTTTTTATTACATATATGATTTAACATACAAATGTTTAAAAGAATCACTATGTCTATATTAATTCACACACTTGCACACAGATGTAATCTGTGGTAAAAACAACATAAGGTGAAGACGGAGCTTTATAGCAGTAGAGGTTTTATATGTTACTGAAGCTAAATTGCTATCATTTGAAACTACATTGTTATATTTTCTATGTTAATTGTAATCTCCATGGTTACTACTACGAAAACACCTTAAAATATATGCCAAAAAGGAAGAAAGAGGGGAATCAAAATGATACACTACATAAAACCAATTAAACAAGAAGATGGCAGTAATGGAGGAAATGAGGAAACGAGGAACAAAATAAGTATGTAACATACAGAAATATCAAAATTGCAGAAATAAGCAATTTCTTATCAATAATTTCTTTAAATATAAATGAATTAAACTCTTCAATCAAGAGGCAAAGTGTCAGAATGGAGTTTTTAAAACATGACTCAACTATATACTGTCTACAAGAGACTCATGTTAGATCCAAAGACACAAATAAGTTGAAAGGATAGAAAAAGATAGTTCATGAAAATAGTAACCAAAAAAAGAGTTTGAGTAACCCTACTAATATTAGACATAGGTTTTAAGTAAAAAATAGTTACAAGAAACAAAGAAGGTCATTATATATTAAAAGGATAACTTATCGAGAAGATATAACAATTATAAAATGCATACCAAACAATAGCACCCAAAACATATAAAGCAAACATTGATCAAACTGAAGGGAGAATTCTAAAATAATAGTTGGAGATTTCAATACCCCATTTTTAATAACGGGCAGAACATCTACACAGGAAATAAGTAAGAAAAAGGATTTGAACAACCCTATAAAACTTACTAGACATAATAGATAAACAGAATATTCCACCTAACAAGAGCAATAGATTCTTTTCAAGTGCACATGGAATATTATCTAGGATAGAGCATATGTTAGGCCACAAAACAAGTCTCAATATTTAAAAGATTGAAATCATATAAAATATGTTCTTCATCTACATTGGAACAATGCTAGAAATCAATAACAAAAGAAAAACTGGGAAATTCACAAAACCTATGGAAATTGAACAAAATGTTCTTTTTGGGTGTGTGTGGTATTGGGAATTGAATGCAGATTTATTCTACCACTAAACTATATCCCCAACCTTTTAAAATTTTTTTAAATATTTATTTTTTAGCTTTAGGTGGACACAATATCTTTATTTTATTTTCATGTGGTGCTGAGGATAGAACCCAGTGCCTCATGCATGCCAGGCGAGTGCGCTACTACTTGAGCCATATCCCCAGCCCCCTTTTTTAAATTTTTATTTTGAGACAAAGTCTTGCTAAGTTGCCAAGACTAGCTTCAAACTTGGAATCTTCCTACCTCAACCTCCTAAATTGCTGGAATTACAGGTGTGCACCACTGTGCCTGGATGATAAACAACATATTCTTAAACATTTAACAACGAATCAAAAAAAATCACAAGGGGAATTAGAATATGCTTTGAGATGAATGAAAATGAAAATAAATACCAGAATTTATGAGATGCAGCAAAATCAGTGCTCAAAAAGAAAATTATAGTTGTATACACCTACACTAAAAATGAAGGGAGATATTTAGTCAGTCACCTAATATGTACCTTATAGAACTAGCAAAATAGTAAACTAAACATAAAGCTAGAAAAGGGAAGGAAGTAATGAAAGTTAGAATGAGGGTAAAGGAAATAAAGACTAGAAAAACAATAGGAAGAATCAACAAAAACCAAAAGTTAGTTCTTTGAAAAGATCAACAAAATTGGTAAACCTTTAGGTAGACCAAGAAAAAGAGAAAGAATATTGAAATATCTAAAATCAGGAGCTAAAAGAACTTTATTGGGGCAGGGGGAGGTACCAGGGATTGAACTCAGGGGCTCTTGACCACTGAACCACATCCCCAGCCCTATTTTGAATTTTATTTAGAGACAGGGTCTCTCTGAGTTGTTTAGTGCCTCTCTTTTGCTGAGGCTGGCTTTGAACTTGCAATCCTCCTGCCTCTCAGCCTCCTGGGCCACTGAGATTACAGGCATGCCCCACAAGGCCTGGCAGATTAGAACATTTTTAAGCTGACAAGGAAAAAAATAAAATCAGGAGTCAAAGTGGGGACATTCCTATTGCCCTTGCAGAAATTAAAAGGATGATAAGAGAGTTCTATGAACAATTTTGTGCCCCTAAATTAGGTAACCTAGATAAAATGGACAAACTCCTAGAAACTTGCAAACTACAAAACCAACTTAAGAAGAAATAGAAAATCTGAGCATTTTTATAACAAGGGAAAAGACTAAATGAGTAACAAAAACCTTCCAACAAGGAAAAAAAATCCAGAACCAGATTATTTTACTGATAAATTCTCCCAAATATTTAAAGAAGAATTAACCCCACTCCTTCTCATTCTTAAAAAAAAAAAAAAAAAAAAACAGAAAAGAAGGAAACATTTTCTAACTCATTCTGTAAGGTTATCATTAACCTGATATCACAAGCCATAGATACCATGGAAAAAGAAAACAACAGACGAATGCCCCTTATGAATATAGAGGGCTAAATCCTGAACAAAATGTAACAAAGTGAATGCAACACTACATTAAAAGAATTATATGCCATGGGGAAGTGAGATTTATCTCAGGAGAAGGTGGTTAGCCATAAGAAAACCAGACAATGAACATTAATGGAATGAGGTGGGGGACACTGTCATCTCAGTTGACACATAAAAATATTTGACAAAATTCAATACCTTTTCATGACAAAAATTCTCAGCAAACTAGGAACAGTTTGAACTTCCTCACCATGTAAAGTGCATTCATGAACATCCATAACACAAATCATGCTCAGTGTTGAAAGATTGAAAACTTTCCCCCTAAGATCAGAAATAAGAAAAAAGAGTCCTACTTTTACCATTGCTATTCAATATTAATACTGGATGTTCTGGGCAACCAAAGATGGAAAGGAGCGGACATCTAGATTGGAAAATAAGAAATAAAATTTTCTATATCCACAGTTGTCCTATATATAGAAAGTCATAAAGAAACCTTCAAAAAAGATCCCTAGATCTAATAAATAAATTCTGCAGAGGTTCAGGGTTTAAG